GGAAGTTAGAAACACATTCATCTTGATGCATATAATAAAAAAACGGTTGCCGCACATTATAAAAAAGATGGGGATTAGAATTCCCTTTGGTTGCACAAACCTGGCACATCAGCTTTTCAGCCAGGGCTATTATCCATGCTCTGACGTACCATGCTTCAATGTTCAATCCCAAGACAGTACACCACCACATAGCTATTTCCATACACGCCATCGTGAAGAGGAGGCAGTGACACATTAAATGTTCTTTATGAGCAACTGGTGGAATAGGCATGTCCTGAGTATTCTGAGTCAAGCAAGTTGAGGAGATGGTTGTAGGTCTGTTTGGTATAATACACCCAATTCTTTATTTAGCAAAAGCCAAAATGAGTGAACAGATTTACAAAACCACCACATGTGCATGTAAGGTCCAGTGGCAATGAATATTGAGTCCATAGTTCATTAATCATTGGATTGCTTCACGTTGTACTCAGATCTGAAGCTCTCTTCCAGAAGCTTTTTTTCAGTTTCATTCTAAACTGTGGTGTAGACATGTGCTAAGAATATTTCACAGCACCTGACTGTTGATTCAACAAACACGGTTTATCCACATCTTTGTCCTGAGTCAACGGTATATGCTGAAAGAGAATCCAGGAATCTGGTTGTCAATTTGTGCCATTCAAGTGTTTTTTTACTAGTGTTCCATGAATAATGTGCTGTATGAAGCATAATTTCAAGAAAAAGAGGCACACAGCCCAAACACCTTTTCTTGGAAGTAAGGATACATTCATAGGTCGCAGTTTCTAATGGTGGTAACATGTGACAGTCTGCTCTGTAGGGAACATGGAAACTTTCCACACAATTAGGGTGATTTGCATAATGGATAGCTCTCAGGTGTCACAGATGCCACCAGTTTTCACATGGCAGCTGTAACTTAAAAATAGACAGTTCCTATACAGGGTCAGACAACCTTTGACACTTAATGATGTTGGACTCCCATCTGCCAAGGCAGCATGGCCAATGATCAAAGCTGATGGGATTTGTAGTCCCGCAACATATAGAAGGTCACAAGTTGCCCATCATTTTCAGCATTCTTTTTTCCACCACCCCCCTTTTTTTTTACTGTGCCACGAACTGAACAAACACTGGTGTTAAGTCTGCTTACATAATAAAAAACAAAATCCCCACGAAACTCCACATACCTGCTGTAGGTAGTTATCAGCCATGAAAAATTAAATGGAACCTAAATGTACAGATTGAGTTTATCAGGGATGGCCCTCCAGATGTAGTTGGGCTGCACTGGTCATGTTGATTGGCGTTGGGAGTCCAGCAGCTTTGGCGGGGGCACGTTGCTTCCCCATTCCTTCAGTATAATTATCGGATGCTAGAAATAGGCATGGCATGCTGCTGTTCTTGTGCTCTGTTTGTCAGCTTCTTGGGGAGCATGTAACTGCCCAGTGCTAGAAAGAGAGGTGCAAGACTTGTCCAAGACCTCAGTCTGAGCACAAGTCAGAGATGAATGCTGAGCTCATAAACAACCCCACAATTGTTGCTGCAACATAACATCCAGATTACAAAAGACACAACGCTAACAAGTGACTTGCCCACAAACTGAGAGGTAAGGTCTAAAACCCAAACATCAAACCCTGAAGATAAATCCCCCTTCAATTAATTTACTCCAAAATATTGAAATTCCACCCGGAGCCCCCAAATCAGTTCCTTTTGCATTATTGCACCAGTTCAACTGGCTAATACCTTGTTTCCTGAATGTCTTGTGACTCAAACGTTTTGGCTCCCGAACGCCGCAAACCTGGAAGTGAGTGTTGCGGTTTGCGAACTTTTTTTGGAAGCCAAACATCCGGCGCGGTTTTCTCGGCTTCCACTTGGCTGCAGGAAGCTCCTGCAGCCAATCGGAAGCCACGTCTTGGTTTTTGAATGGTTTCAGAAGTCAAATGGACTTCAGGAACGGATTCTGTTTGAGAACCAAGGTACCACTTTATTGTGCTTCTTGTCCCAATTCAAGATGCTGTTTTCAACCTACGATGTATGACTGGGACATACATACCAGCCCACACACGTTGGACATGTAAAGAGTGCTTCATTAGTAGGGGAAGAAGGACACACACAGCTCGGCCTTGCTCCTCAGCACCAGTGCATTGAACCTGAATGTCTTACAAAGAGATCTATGTTCACTTGGAGCTTTCAACATGTAGGCTTCCAAGCAACCAGGTATTGTAATGTAATCTGAGTCCATCAGTGTGCTACATGGAACTTCAGTAAGGACTGCTGAGGTGTAACGTTGTGCCAAGCCTTGTGCTGAAGCTTCAGCAAACACTCCCAGTGGCCTTCTTGAGAACAAAAATTACAGACTCCCCCCCCCCACCAAAGATGATGGCTCAACATTTTTGTAACAACGTGCCTCTACTATGATAAAATGAGTTTTCATGTTTGGGTGAAAAGTACTATGTTGCCTAACTTTCGCGATTTACATTACTGCTAAATTTCTCATCCTTTTAATATTAACATGCACTTTCTTATTTTTGAAAAATGCAAAATAAAAATGAGGGCTATAGTTAAAGCACACAGTTTAAAAAGAAAGTGTATGAGTTACATATAATTAGCATTTTTGTGGTAATATCATGTTAACATGTCAAAAGGTTTTAATTAAAATTACGTCGGCAATTAAATATATTATTCTAAAATGGTGGCATAAGGTAAAGGCAGCTCCTTAGCAACAGAAATATAAGAGTCTTTTTCATGTTTTTTTGGGGGGTCTGGGAGTAAAAATGAACATTCTCATACTCATGTATGAAAATAGCGTTCCATATTCACATTTTGCAACCTGCCTTCTTTAATCTGGGCCTTTTTTAATACACATTTGCGAGCTGACTATTTTTAAAAAATAAATTTATCGGTTTGGGTTTTTTGAAAATAACATCTCCCTTAACAAAAAACTTGGAAGTATACAGCATAAAAATACACAGTAGGCTGAAGCATAGAATATGATTTAACCTAGAGCAACCAAAAAAGTTGACTGCAAAGGTTAAAGATTGTTTTTCTTATTTATGCAATCAATACAACAGTACCAGTCATCTGAAACAAGTCTTTCTGTCTCTAGCTAGTCATATTTTGTTGGTCAGCTGGGTTGGTCACCAAACCCAGTTAAGCCAATTTGTCCAAGACTTTCCAAAACCAGGGTATAACAAGTCTAACCGCTAATGACAGATATCCAGTAAGAGATGTAAATGGGAGATCAGCATTCTGGCCCTGAAGTATATTCAGTAAAGTTAACCCAGAGGACTGAATGACTTGTTGACCAGTTAGGTAAAGGTATCTATGAAAACCCTGTCTTTCGAAAACTTGACACCTTAACATAATACCACCATTTATGCTGCCATGTTTCCTTCATTTCACATCCTTGGGAACAAAATGGTTTAAGAGAAAGTTGCATGTGTGCAAGATAAAGAGTTATGAAGTGCCATTTTTGCAATGTTTTAAGGACTGTTTATTTACTGGGCCATTTCTTCAGGCTCTCCTGTGTTAATATGTTTATATTTAGCACAAAAGATTTTTAACCTTGAAACACTGTGGGTAATATTTCCCCAGTGCCATGAAGTTCAGGAGGGAACTGTGATACCTAGCTCCAGAGGAATAAATTATAACTTAGTGAAGAAAGTAATGAGCTGCTACCAAACTGTTTAAAGTCACCTGTGTATTGGGGAACTCATGTAAATATGTTAGGGATGCCCAAATTAAAATACTTCTGATTGCATATGAACAGCAGGTGCATTGAACTTCCACTGAAAAGTTATCCAGTTTTTGAGGAACACAATGATGACCTAAAGTTATAGTTCTAACTTTAGCTTTAAGTATTTTTAAGGGTTTTTGTTTTTTTTTTGTTAGCTCTAGGCAAAAAATCCAGATCATACTATCAGATGCCATTATCAGATAAAGCAGAAAACCCTTCCACTCCCTAGCCAACTGAATCTTAAGCAAGAGCTCCTCTTATAATCCTGCTGCATACATCATCCTTCTGTCTAGTGTGACTAGTGGTGTGACTTGGTTAACTCTGGCTAGTGAATGAGCGGACAAGGAGGCTTTATTGTGAGAGATTAGCATAGAGGAAGTCAGAATGAGGAAGTTACTCAAGCAAAGGTAGAATACTTCTTTCCTTTGATGAGGTTCCTGCTTCATGCCAGCAGATTAAATGGCAATACATCTTTGCAAGGTTCCCTGCATTTCTAATTACAAGGTGAATGCATCCCAGATACCTGAAGATCTTTTTTAAAGCTCAGAGTGTTTTGCGAGTTGAACCGATACAGTGAGAAGTACGCACCACTGGATTCAATAGAACTTGCACTCAGGAAGCCATGTACAGAACTACAGTCATGCTGATCCTAATAAAATGTGTCTTATTCTATATATTTCTGCTCTTTCATGGCAAATCTGTATGATAGACCAGTGGTGGGCAACTGAATCTGGTTCTTCCAAATGGAACATTTTTCTGTCAACAGAGGAAGCCTTTTTAAGGGACACTGGTTTGTGGGGAATGGCCTCATGGATCAAACTGGGATACATATTGGGCCTAATTAGTCCCGAGAGCTGAAGATTCCCCACCACTGTGAACACTTGGATTTCCCTTGGAGGTGTTGCTATGGGAGCTGTCAGGATGAGCTTCTGGGATTCAAAATTTACTACTACACCACTAAGTGCATCTTGAGACATCATAAAAAAGGAAGAAACATCTGTCACAAATCCATAGACTGCTAGTAGTAATCTGGTAAAACAAATGTGTGCATTCTCCTACCTATTTTGTACTTGGCTGCTCATGCAGATGTTCCACTAAAATCTACAGAGCTTATTCATTCATAACGTAGTAGGACTGCATCTGTCAACATCCTTTGGGTAGCATATTATCTATTGGGGATTGAGATTAATAATTCAGCATTCGGTAGTAAAAGCTGAAAAAGTGTGTTCAATAGCATATTTGTTTTTTATGGGAACATTTTATTTATTTCTGCTAGGTCACAGTAATGAAAGGCAGCAATAGGAATAAAGATCATTCAACAGACGGAGAGGGTACTGGGAAACGACCAAAGAGAAAGTGTCTTCAGTGGCATCCACTACTTGCAAAGAAAATCCTTGACTTTTCAGAAGAAGAGGAGGAGGAAGAGGACGAAGAAGATATTGATAAGGTGAACCTATGTTGTCAAAAAGTAGAGCTTTAGTATGATATACTTTGGAGATTTGTTGCCTGTGCAAGCCTTCTAAAACCCATTTGGAAATCAGATTCATAGTGTTTTTTAAATATCACTCAGCATGACTATCGTGGTTTGCCCCCATTCATATTGAGTAATATCTAAAAAAGAGTATCTTTTCCAAATGTTAGACGAGCCCCACACTGTATCATGCCCCTAGGTCCATGTAGTCTAGAATCTTTTTCCCAACCCTATGTGCCCACAGAGTAGCTCATGAATGAAACAACTCTATCCCATTTAGCCATCCAGAAGTTGGTATGCGGATACATAGGTCTTCTGAATGCAGAGTTTTTGAGCTATCATGGGTAATAGCTGCAGATAGGACTATTGTCCATGAATTTGTTTAATCATTTAGTAGCCATTGCCACATTCAGCAAATTCCAAAAGTTAATTATTTGTTGTGGAAATTATCATAAATTACATTATTTTTCATAATAATTCCTTTAAAAAAAAAAACCCACCTAGAGCAACTTAATACAGTGGTACCTCGCAAGACGAATGCCTCGCAAGACGGAAAACTAGCAAGACGAAAGGGTTTTTTGTTTTTTGAGCTGCTTCGCAAGACAATTTTCTCTATGGGCTTGCTTTGCAAGACGGAAACGTCTTGCAAGTTTGTTTCCTTTTTCTTAACACCGTTAATACAGTTGCGACTTGACTTCGAGGAGCAACTCATAGCACGCGGTGTGGTAGCCTTTTTTGAGGTTTTTGAAGACTTTGGTGATTTTTGAAGCTTTTCCAAAACTTTTCCGACACCGTGCTTCGCAAGACGAAAAAAAATCGCAAGACGACAAAACTCGCGGAACGAATTAATTTCGTCTTGTGAGGCACCACTGTAAACTTTAAAATAATTAACTTTAAAATAAAACTATTTAATACCCTATATTTAAAACACATTGGAGTAGTAAATATCTCTTTTGCCCATCCACTAAAACAAGTGGGCATGCTTCCATCAACAAAATTGTTCAGTGCAACAATTTAAAGCACAAACCAGTGCAGAACCTTAAAACCATTCAGATCACAAAAGCATTTTAAACAGGAAGACTTTATTTACCTGGTTAAAGGTAAAGGGACCCCTGACCATTAGGTCCAGTCGTGGCCGACTCTGGGGTTGTGCCGCTCATCTTGCTTTATTGGCCAAGGCAGCCGGCGTACAGCTTCCGGGTCATGTGGCCAGCATGACTAAGCCACTTCTGGCGAACCAGAGCAGCGCACGGAAACACTGTTTATCTACTTGCACTTTGACGTGCTTTCGAACTGCTAGGTTGGCAGGAGCTGGGACTGAGCAACGGGATCTCACCCTGTCGCGGGGATTCGAACCGCCGACCTTCTGATCGGCAAGTCTTAGGCTCTGTGGTTTAACCCACAGCGCCACCCGCATCCCTATCTACCTATCTACCTGGTTAGAAGGCCATTAATGAGGAGGCAAGACAAGCCTGCCTTGGGAGGAAGTTCCATAGTCTGGGCACAGCAAGATAGATTTCTGTCGAACCTCACTTCAGTCTCTGAGTGGAATCTATCTTTCATCCCACAAAGTGTAAATGCAAAGCTAATGTAATATTATTTGCTCAGACATTTTGCTGAATTGATTGCTTCACTGCAGGGGATTTGCAGGTTTTTAACACAGAATATTAAGTTAGATGTTGGAGCGAATAACTAATAGACACGAGAAATATCCATTACATCTTTAGAATTTTTATTTGTAAAATAGGTCCATCTTCTTGGTGCTGATGGTCTTGAGCACGATGCTGACGAAACAGAAGATGAGGAATCTTCAGAGCAACGAGCTCGCAGGCCGATGAATGCATTCCTTCTGTTCTGCAAACGCCACCGTTCCCTTGTGCGGCAAGAACACCCCCGTCTGGACAATCGTGGTGCTACCAAGATCCTGGCAGATTGGTGGTCTGTTCTAGACCCTAAAGAAAAGCAGAAATACACCGACATGGCCAAGGAGGTACCCAGTGACATTATTGTGCCACATGTTTAAATGGTGAACATTTGAAAAACAGCATCATGCTTAAAATCCCTTCCTCCCCCAGTCTGTGTCAGGTTTTGCAAGGGAGAGGATTAAACAAGAATTCAAGAAGGAAAGGAGCTTCGTGATCAAGCTAAACAGTTCAGTTTATACATTTCATACAGTGTTTTTTATATCGTGTTACTCTGACCTGAAGTACCTGATTCAAAAAAGCAGGATTACTAAATTTTTACTAAATATGCAATTTTTTTGGTCTGGATACCCTCCTTTTACAGAGGCCCATTCCCATTTTAAAACCCAAAAGGTGTTCCAGCAAATATGTTATAACTGGTTTCTCAAAAGCAAGTGAAATACCTGTTTTACTTTCTAATATTTCCCTTTCCAAATTACTGCTACTGAAACAGACCCAAAGGGTAGATTTATTTTAATTAAGGGTTTTCTTGACGACTAGCTATTTGCTGGTGATATGCTTTGAATTCTAATCAGACTTATTTTATTAAAAAAGAAAAATACCTTGCAACAACTTGAGACGTTAGAAGAGCATACTTTTTTTAACTAAAGCCGGTTTTAACTATTTAATTTATCAATAATTTGATAACCTAGACTACCATAACACCTGATTTGGCTCTCTAAACACTAACGCTCATTGGCTACATTCAAATGAAGGGAAACTACTGCATATCAACCTAAGCAAGTTGTGCTTCCTTTTTCTGGTTAATTGGCTATAACTTTTGATAGAATACAGATAATTGAACTATCTTTGTTGCATTACATTCTTCATTAAATTTTCTTTCCATTGATATATAATTTCATGGTATTACTCCAATAAAAGTGGAGTTGTGAGCCATCAAACCTCAGAAATACACTTTTTCCAAAAGGTTTTCACAATTTTTGCCACTAGTGTACCTTCACTGTCAGAGGCAGTATGTTTCTGGGAATCACAGGTTGAGATTGTGCTGTTGCTTTTAAGTCTTGCTTTCGGGCTTCACTGCTGTGAAATAAATGCTCGAACTCCAGTGAGGAATGATCTCCCTGCAGAATTTATAAAACTCGTATTTATAAAATAATGTTCTGCTGCAAGGAATCTCTCCTAAATTAATCTATAAAAGTAGCAGATAAGATCCAAAATACAGTATGCCTTGATAAATAATAAGTCTTTCGCTGAAGTTCGGTCCAGGGAAAGCTTCTTGGGGACAGTGTATCATAACTGGTGTGATACAATCAAAAGCCCTCTTTATATTTATTCCGAATCACCCTGTAGTGGATAATGTCTTTAGATATTCTTCTTTATTGATTCAGAATAATAAAAATAGTTCTCATTTGGTTTTTTTCAATACTGAAATTAGGGACTTATTATTTCAACAGGTAGTAAAAAAACAACAACAGTAATAGTAATGGAATCCAGTAGTGATCTGGAAAATTGGAGAGTTGGATTTATAGGACTAAAATGTCTTTTGAGATCTTTAACTTCCCCTTGAACCTTTGTCAGTGGGGAAGAAGAACAACTGCATAACACTCCTGTGAAAAGTGACAATTAGAAACTTCTAACAATAGTGTGTTGAAAACTGCTATGCCTGCGGCGATATGATTCACACAAACCCTCCCTCCTAGGCTTGGTTCTGAAAGCAAGTCTCACATTTCTCTATTGAAAAGGAACAATATAGCCAAGTGTGTTCAGCTCAGTAACATTCATTCCAAGAATGTGTATGAGACGTGCAATTAAGCATATAATTTTTATTCTTTCTGTAGTTTAGCTGTGCAATAGCAGTAATTATGAACAAAAACTTGCCACTGGGTCCTCTTAACAATTTTTTCCTGGTAAAGCATTGATGAAAATACATACAGGAGAGAGAGGGTTTTCTTTTTAATTGCATTTTAAAAATTGTAGTTATAATTTGGCTTCATTATGAACACTGCCGAGACATAATGCACAGCTTAGAACGGTGGCCATACAATGTGTCTCTTGGAGCTAGCCCTCAGGTTCAACAAGGCTATAAAAAAAAAAGATCTTGGAGCAAGCCCAAACTTCAAATCTGGTCTACACCCAGCTCTCTATATTGCGACCATTTTTTTTAGTATGGGCGAATGATAACAAATATTTATACCTTGTAAGAGTAATTAGGGAAACCTGACAATTTCAATTTCATTAGCTGAATGGTGAAATGTAGAAGCACACAAAGGCTTAAGTTGTTCTTTTACCCAAAATATATTGGATAGGGCTCAGTGCTTCCAACTCAGACTAGACATACTGTAAATGCAATAGGCTATCTTTGTGATCAGGGACGTGGGTGGCGCTGTGGGTTAAACCACTGAGCCTCTTGGGCTTGCCAATCAGAAGGTTGGCGGTTCGAATCCCCACGACGGGGTGCGCTCCCATTGCTCGGTCCCAGCTCCTGCCAACCTAGCAGTTCGAAAGCACGTCAAAGTGCAAGTAGATAAATAGGTACCGTTCCGGCGGAAAGGTAAACAGTGTTTCTGTGCGCTGCTCAGGTTTGCCAGAAGTGGCTTAGTCATGCTGGCCACATGACCCGGAAGCTGTACTCCGGCTCCCTCGGCCAATAAAGTGAGATGAGCGCCACAACCCCAGAGTCGGCCACGACTAGACCTAATGGTCAGGGGTCCCTTTACCTTTACCTATCTTTGTGATCACGTAGCACAACATTGAGAAACCTTAATCAGGAACATAAGAAGAGCCTGCTGGATCAGGCCAGTGGCCCACCTAATTCAGCAACCTGTACTCACAGTAGCCAAGAGCTGTGGGAAACTTACAAGCAGGACTCGAGAACAAGAGGAATCCTCCCTCTAAACCACCCCCCTTCAATTAAAATTTGTCAGTCTTGGTCATATTTCCTGGTGATATTACCAAGATTTCCTAGTCTTCAGGTTGAAACCAAATTTTTCATTTATTTGTTAAGAAATGAACATTCTTTTTTTAAAAAAAATTGTTGGTATAGTGCAGGTGGTTGAGAAAAATAGTTGAGCCATTGATGCTTTGAGAAATGTTTTTATGGAGTAGCTTGGCAATCTGAGATCATCCATAAACTCATATTTTATAATACAGGTTTTATAGATTTTCTGATAACAAACATAAGCAATGAGTGCAACCCTGTGCACATTTATATGGGAGTAACCCCCCTTTTGACTTGAATCAAAATAAACATTCAAATTGTTGTGTATTGTATATCCTAAAACCAGTACTTTGTAAACCACTTAAAAGGGTTTTGTTTTGTTTTTACAATTGCCGTATTTTTCGCTCCATAAGATGCACCTAGTTTTTAGAAGAGGAAAGCAAGAAAAAAAATACAGAGCGCGCGAGGGAGAATATCCCCCTCCGCGCTGGCTCCTGGCTGCTCTCATGCAAGTCACAGAGCCCCTCAGATGGAGGGAACTCTAAATAGAGTGTTCTAAAGCCCTCTTCCCCCGCCTCACCTCTCCCCACCCCCTTGTGCGGGCGGGGGACGCTTGCACGAGCACTGCCATTAGGACACTCACACGGGCGGTGTGCCACGCCCTGCCACTCTGGGAACCAAAGCCCCCAGCTCCGCCGCTGCCAGGGACCACACATTTGCTTCATAAGACACACAGACATTTCCCCTTACTTTTTAGGAGGAAAAAAGTATGTCTTACGGAGCGAAAAATACAGTAAGTGATGTATAAATGTTATGAAATAAATAACTATGAATACTAAGTTGTTACATTTCCCCAAGGTTTTCTACAAAACTGTGCTGTCCCTTGACGCAATTTTTTTCCTTTCCTCTTCATAGTACAAGGATGCATTTATGAAAGCAAACCCTGGCTACAAGTGGTGCCCACCTACAAATAAACCTGTGAAAACCCAGTCATCTACTGTTACTAACCGGAAAAAGCTGTGGGCTTTCCCATCAGAACCTGCAAAAGATTTGCCAAGTCCAAAAAAGTTAGTGAAGACAGAAGAAATGCCTCAGCTGAATTTCGCAATGGCAGGTTCGTTTGAGATCTCTGTTGACTTCAAGCCCCAAGTCTCTGCCCTACAGTACGTGACTGAATCAGGCCTAGGAGTCAGAGGTTTCACCAAGATTGTACTGTATTTCATTAGAGTCAATGGGAATATTTGTTTTATTATAATCGTTTACAGTGGAACCTCGGTTTTCGATCATCTCAAAAGCCGGACAATTCGGAACCCAAACACTGAAAACCCAGAAGTAATTGCTTCCATTTTCGAATGCACCTCGGAAGTCGTTTTTTTCAATGGAATTTGCCAACCACCCATTGATCCTCGGTTTTCAAATGATTCGGATGTCTTCCAGAACCGATTACGTTCAAAAACCTGAGGTTCCACTGTGTTATTAAAATGGGTTGATTCCCGCAATCATTTTGTAATAGGATGCTATAGGGTTGTAGATATCCTTGAAGCTGTTACTCTTTTGTAAAACATGCCTTCTATATATTTTAATAAGTTCTAAGATACATAGTCAATGGAACACCTCATTCCAGTAATGACTGCAACATTTGATCCTGTTCACACAGTACAAAATACACAGTCCCTGTTGTGTATGGGATGGATACAAACTAAATTAGTCATGACTTTAAGTCCCATGATTTCATTGGGAACTGACTGTGACTAATTACTCAGTGGGATTCAACGCTGTGTATATATGGATAGATTATAGTACCTGTCGCATTTCCTGCATGATCATAGATGGGTCATATTGCTGCAACTCTTCCTACCTGGGGCTCTTTTAAGCTACTTAAATCAGCTTAAGTCAGATGTTTTGAGCAAAAAATTATACATGAGACATTTCTTGTGTCTTTAATAAAGTAATTTCCAAACACTGAAAATATGTTTAACTTCCAATAGCAGCATAAGTAGCGGCACTAGGCACAAATCATGTTTTGCTTCATTGAATAGTTCTCTATATCGAATGGAAGTGAAAGACTCATGATGAGTCTGACCAAATACAAGTTACAATCCATTTAAAAGCACAGTCCATTGTGATTGGAGGGAAGGTGTATTTTTGAGTGGCAGGATCTAAAGATACAAGTTGCAGGTGATGGTGTGCAAGACTCTGCTTCAGCAGAGGGAGTGGGGGTTGAGCAATGCCCTTTTCGGGCATTCTGTCTTAATTTCATGGGGCTAGAAAGTGGAGCCATATGCCCACTATGACATTCCCACCAGCCCTTTCCTCCTCCTCCGCATTGGTGGAGACATCTGAGGGGAGCATGCTAATTGCATGGGGTTCTAAACAGGGAAACCTATACAGTGGTGCCCCGCAAGACGAACGCCTCGCAAGACGGAAAACCCGCTAGACGAAAGGGTTTTCCGTTTTGGAGGCGCTTCACAAAACGAATTTCCCTATGGGCTTCCTTCGCAAGACGAAAGCCCATAGGGAAATCTCCGGGACAGCGGGGAAGCGCAGCGCGTCTTCCCCACTGTCCTCGGACCTCCACCAAAGCCTGGCGGCGGGGCGGGGACACCTCCTCCCGTCGCCCGGCTTCGGAAGGATGCTCCGAAGCCGGGTGGTGGGGCGGGGACACCGCCGCCCGGCTTCGGAAGGCTGTCCTGAAGACTTGGGGTGGGAGAAGGGTTTTCCTTCCCACCGCCAACATTCAGAATGCTGTTCTGAATGTTGGCGGTGGGGAGGAAAAACCCTCCTCCCACGCAAGCCCCGGGAACAGAGGAAAAGCGCTGCGCGCCTTCCCCTCTGTTCCCGTACCTGTCCTGAAGGCTTGTGGTGGGGAGAAAAGCCCTTCTCCGCACCGCCAGCCTGGCAAGCGGTTTCCATAGGAACGCATTAATTGATTTTCAATGCATTCCTATGGGAAACGGTGCTTCGCAAGACAAAAAACTCGCAAGAAGAAAAAACTTGCGGAACGAATTAATTTCGTCTTGCGAGGCACCACTGTATGAGTTTTCATTGAGTCCCATTGTCAAACTTCCCTTCCCAACATGGGGGAGAGAGAGACTTGAGTGTGATCCCGTGCAATCCCATAGTCTTGCTTCAAATAGAAATCATAGAATTGTAGAGTTGGGAGAAACCACTTGGGTCATCTAGTCCAACCCCCCTGCAGTCTAGGAATCTTTTGCCCAATGTGAAGCTCAAACCCACAACTCTGAGATTAAGAGTTTCATGCTGTACCAACTGACAGTTGTATGCAGGAGGGTGCCTGAAGTTTCTTGTGTATATTGTCTGCACTTTATTGTAACACTTAAAAGTTACCAGCACTAGACTGAAATTTTATGAAAAGAGTGACTTTATGAATATCTTATCGTGATATTATCAAGACTTCCTTCCTACTCCATTTTTAAAAAAGATATATATATGGGGTGTGTTGTGTGTGTTGATTCCTTTTAAGTAGTCTTTGTTAAAAGATGTAATCTTTATAGTTCCTTTCAGTGCTGTGGCCCAGTATGTTTAAGACCTGCTCAAGCTGGCTCCAAAATAAAACATTTTTATCAATATATTTTTATTCTCTGATAGATCCTACACAAATGGGAGGCCTCAGTATGCTACTGTTAGCAGGAGAACATGCCTTGACTGCACAAGAGGTAAGCAGCTATCTTGCCTGCTTCATCCTTTCATTAATGCAATGCATGTTTGACAGATATGTATAGTAATGTAACTTCTGCTGACAACTATTTGATAGGTTTTGTATCTGCAGTCAGTGACACAGTTTTCCATTCCGTAGCTATAGAACCTAATCATTTGTGCCAGTTGTACAATGTGAAACACTTTGGTGTCAAATACAGTGGTACCTCCGGTTGTGGACAGGATCCGTTCCGGAGCTCCGGTCGGATTCTGAGGTTTCCGCAACTGGAGGTGCCTGTTCTACGCGCGCGGCACGATAGAGCACTACTGTGCATGCGCGTGCAGCTAAACCCAGAAATATACTTCCAGGTTTGCCACGTGTGTATCCCGAAGGATACGTAACAAGAGGGGCTCATAAGCAGAGGTACAACTGTATTGCAGAATCAAGTCCTTTATATCTAAAGAGTTTCTAGTAAAGAGGAACTATAATCAAGAGGACGTATCTTGAGTCAAACTGTCTGTGAATGTAAACAGTTCTGTGAACTTAGAAGTCCCAGCCTTGAGAGCAAAATCCATTTACTTTGTATATTGTCTGATACACATGTGTCCTTCAGGCATTTAGAATTTGAATACCATAGAGCAGTGATGGCGAACCTTTTAGAGATTGAGTGCCCAAACTGCTACTCAAAACCCACTTACTTAATGCAAAGTGCCAACACGGCAATTTGAGCTGTAGATCTCATTTTTTCTGTTTCTTCTTTATGACTGCTGTTGTAATAAATAATCCTTCATAAAAGTTACTGCATTAAATTATCTTTCTATTCATATATAATTTTGTGGCATAACTCAGTGCTTTTCTCAAAAAATATGTTTAGGGGTACACTCAGTTTTACTCAAGAAAAATCACCACGGGGGGGGGGGGAAATACAGTTCAAATTGGGGAAAATAAATACAGTGAAATTCATCTACCGTTAAATTCACAAAATGTTCAGAGGTATGCGTCCCTTTGCGTCCCCACAGAAAAAAACCACTGGTATTACTCCAGAACCAAGTAGTGTTATGAGCCATCAAACCTTGGAAATACATTTTTTCCAGAAGGTTTCACAATTTTGGCCACTAGTGTACACTGGAGGGCTGTACTAAGAGCCACCCTCTGCCAATCTTTAATATAAGATAATGATTGTCTTCGTGCGCACATACAAATATATATAAATAAATAAACCCAGCCAGATGGGTGGGATATAAATTTATTTTTATTATTGTTGTTGTTGTTATTGTTATTATATTTTGCTATTTTTTTTGGCTGCCGTTTGATGGCTTCCTCCATGGAATGAATTTTTCTGTTGGCTTCTGCGGGAAAGCCCAGAGAACATGTAAACCCAGCAGCCCCTTCTTATGTTGCCGTCTTGATATGCTTACTGACCTGGGAGTTAAGCCCTGCTGAACTCAAGGCAGCTTACTCCCGAGTCGGAAAAAACAGACTGGCAGAAATCAATGCCTGCTCAGCCCCTCATTTGCTTGCCAGACCCTGGTGCCGCAGGCTTTGGGCGGCACATGCAAGCCCCCCCCCCCCCCGGCATGAAAGCTACTGCCCTGCTGGGGCAATGGCGTGCGTGCCCACAGAGAGGGCTCTGAGTGCCCTCTCTGGCATGCATGCCAAACGTTCGCCACCACTGCCATAGAATATTTAGAATAATGTGGCGGAATATTTGGTAGCATTTTTTTAAATGCAAAAAGCATTTAAAAATAAAGTTTTGTTGTTGTTTAGTCATTTAGTCGTGTCCGACTCTTCATGACCCCATGTAAAATATAGCTTACATGCTATTAAATGCTGTTAGATCCCACTTTCCTAATCAACACAGGTAACTCAAAGCTACTTAAAATACTGTTGTAACAAACAATTTTAAATATATTATCTCAGCAATATTTACTTCACTGCTGCTAAGGTGTTGTATCATTATCTCCCATTTTACAAGTGTGGGTTGTGACAAGGCAGCACACATGAGCTTAGAATCAGGACTGTTGGGCTCACAGCTCATGAAGTTCAACGCCGTACCAAAGCAGCTCAGTTTAAAGTAGCCATCTGGCTGTTTACATTTCACCAACTTTGCAATATAAAATGTATTAAATCTGGCAGCTTTTAGCACATACATGTTGAATTTCTGTAAGAAGTAGAATGTGATTTTGTAATGGTAGTGGCAAAAGAGTATCATGGTTCAATATAAACACAATAAAATTTTGTAGCGTCTTGTGCTTCAATCAATCAATCATTTATTTATTTATTTATTTATTTATTTATTTGTATGCCATGTTTCCAAAGTAAAAACATGTTCTAGGTGGCTTACAATGTATTTTAGAAACTACAGCACTACAAAGATAACAAAAGTAGTCATACACAAAACATCAAAAAGTACGCAGACTGAACAATTTCCACATAAATCATGAGAACAAAATAAAGATACAAAAAGATGACAGCAACAGCCCCCATAAACAACAAACCCCTGTAAACAATGCCCCAGCCCAAGATTCTGTTCGGCAGCTTCAGCTTTTATAGCTGGAGTCAACCGGCCCTTGCCTCTCAGACCAGGTGGGGAAAGGCCTACAAGGCAGGGCGCAGATCTTCCAGGGCACAAAGCCAAGATGATGATGATGATGATGATGATGATAATAATAATGATAATTATTTATTTATACCCCGCCCATCTGTCTGGGTTTCCCCAGCCACTCTGGGTGGCTTCCAACAAAATATTAAAATACAATAGTCTGTTAAAACATTAAAAGCTTCCCTAAACAGGGCTGCCTTCAGATGTCTTCTAAAAGTCTCTTTGACATCTGGTGGGAGGGCGTTTCACAGGGCAGGTGCCAATACCGAGAAGGCCCTCTGCCTGGTTCCCTGTAACTTGGCTTCTCGCAGCGAGGGAACCGCCAGAAGGCCCTCAACGCTGGACCTCATTGTCCGGGAAGAACGATGGGGGTGAAGACGCTCCTTCAGGTATACTGGGCCAAGGCCATTTAGGGCTTTAAAGGTCAGCACCAACAATTTGAATTGTGCTCGGAAACATACTGGGAGCCAATGTAGGTCTTTCAAGACCAGTGTTATGTGGTCTCGGCGGCCGCTCCCAGACGGTCTCTTAAGCAACTTTTTATGGACTACAGGCCACTTCATCAGATGAAAATTATGTGAATAACTTGCTGGTCTGTGGGGACAGGGGAACATTTGCAAACCTAAGATTTAACTTCAATCATTTTACATGTAGCTTATATAGCCTGTCCTTCACTTTTACAAATACCAGGTACAGAGTATAAACCAAAGAAACCAGAACAGTAAGCCATTCTGAACAAATAAAGACTGCTAAAAACAGCATAATAAGCGAATCAGCAGCTTAAAATGCCTGGGCAAATAAATAAGTGTTAACCTAGTGCTGGAACAATGACCACATCAGCCAGGCAGACTTCTGAGTGGAGGGCATTTGTGGCAGCTTATGTAGCCATAATGCCATGAGTAGGAAGTAACATGGTGCTTGTTAAGCCCTTGTTTGCAAGCCTGGTGTGTCTACCAGCCATTCTGACAAATTTCTTATGAGAAATCCACTTTCACAGCAACTTCATAGCTCCTTCCCAAAACATTCTGGGCAGACATTTGGCTGGCAAGTGAAGCATGCAGTGGTAAAAAAAACCCTTTTCATTTTCTTCGAAGAATAATCAGGCAGACATTAAGGAGGCAGTGTGTGTTTGAGTGTTAAAAGCAGACAGAAGGCCATGTTTGCTATCCTTTCTTTGCATTTAATAATACATGGGCAAGAATTATTCTGATACATTGACTTCGTATTTCTTAACGCTTAATCCGATTGCATTAATGATATTCATCTTCTCAAGAGTTGTATTAACAGTTGTTAACTACGCTGAATTTTTAGGAATCTCTTATTGCCTCATGATGTGAGTGTGAATGCGTTATATCGTGTCCCAGCCATGAAAATGAAATGTAGAATCAATGCTGGTGTTTGCACACTTGTTAAGTGTCAGCTATGCCATTATACTCTTAGAACAGATTATATTACTTGATTTTATAGGGCATTTTTCTGTATTTAGCTCATCACAAACTAATTTCCCCTTTAATGAATGGATGGACAAATGAAAGGTGATCTCTTATGTGCATTTCGTACTTGGTTCCTCCCTTCAGTCTTTGGTACTTTCCATTTTTCTGCATACCATACCAGTGGCTGCTTTGTGCTGGCAATGCTACTAAAAAGGCAAATGGCGACTCATTTGCATATGTACCTGCCTGCATGCAGGGAAGCATGTAATGCCCATCCTTCCCATTTCTGATCTCTTTTTCATTTTAAATTCTGCAGCTCTTTCCACGCTCCTTATTTTACACGTATTTCTCTATCCCTTCTCTTTTCTAAAATTGGCTTCTGTTTCCCTAAAGCATTCTGTTTAAATTTCTTTTGGCTTACAGTGCTTTTGTACACTTTCTCCTCCTTAACTTTTCAGTTCTTTCTTTCTCTTTGCTCCTTCTTTTCCCCTTATGTACTTCTAATCAAACCCAAAACCTGACTATTACTTTTCATTGTTGCTTTTATCTGTTGTTCTTCTACAGCTCTGGAATGCACTGGCTACATGGAATGTGCTCCCTATCGATATTCAAGCAGCTCTGCCAATTTTGGTTCTTAAACAGCTTCTAAAGAGCAATCTGTGCTCTGAGGCTTTTCCTTGCTCATTAATCCTTCCAGGTTTCCCTTCCTCTTGTGACCATTTCCACCCCCTCCACTTTTTTTGTCTGATACATTGTAAGCCTCCAGGCAGGGTTTGTCATTACTTTTATCTCTCCTATGCCATTTTGATTTGAAAGTGCTTTAGAAATAATAATATATGTGCACACCACTTAGCAGTAAAAGCCTGCAACTCACAGGCAGGCCCCTTTCTAATTGACACACGAAGCAGAATGTAGTCCCTAAAGTTTCCCCCTTAATAATCTTTGTTTCAGATTTCTTCAAGTACATGCCATTCTGATGCATCCAATTCTACTGAAGGATGTCTAAAGTCGCCGTTGTTTCAATTTGCTGAGGTGAGCTTTTTCTAATTTCTGGGTTTTTTGGTTTTTTAATTAATAAAGGAAGGAAGGAAGGAAGGAAGGAAGGAAGGAAGGAAGGAAGGAAGGAAGGAAGGAAGGAAGGAAGAACACTAAAGGCTTTCACATAAGCTCCAAAAATGCTTTAGTTAATTTATCATCCATTTGAGCAGTAGCCACATACATATTTACCTGAGGATCATGGGTGACTTCTGCATCTTTAATGGCACTTAAATATAGTTAATTAATTAAATGCTTTACATGATGCATTGCGTTAGGTAGGCATTCTTGAGCAGAAGAAAGAATTTCTTTCGTATATTTAGTCGAAAGCATCCTGAAGCCAAAAATGTGCCAGCTAAGGACATATTTATTTAATTAGCAGCTATAATGGATGCCCTCTTCAGGCATCAGGTCTTGACAAGCTTCATCAGGTGACTGTTCAGGTTAAAGTGTGGAAACACTCTTTTCAGTACTAAGTCAAGGTCAGGACCACCCATTAGCATATTAGATAGATAGATCGTGCCCTCGTATGTTGTCAAATCCTGTACTGTCAAATCCTAATCATCTTTCAGCATATAACCGAGGGCCAAAGTCACAAATCCATTTTTTGAACATGTAAGCAGCCTTTAGCATCTCCAGATACATGCTCATTGGTGAAGGTAGTGTATGAACCAGGCATTCAGTTCTCATACTTACAGAGCTGCTCCTCTTCAGGGAGGGGTGGGGTTGCGTGCAGGCTTTGCTCTTTCCCGCCCTTGGGGGGTGGTGTCGAGACTCCCACATCACTGGGGAGTCCCGGCACGCATCACGACCACAGTCAGCCAATCTGCCTGGCGGTGGGGGCATGGCTAGCCACATTTAAGCAGCTGCGTGGCCGGGAGCTCCTCCTTCTGCTCCAAGCTTCCACGGATCTCCTGCCCTCCCTCCCTTCTTTCGTTTATCACCTTGACCTTGATATGGACTTCAGTCGGTTGCCTGTTGAAGCGGCCTGGTAGGAATTTTCCCACTTGGCAAATTGGCACTAGCCACTTGGTTTTCGCCTACCTCGTAGCAAATCGTCACAACTTTATAAGGTTTAGTGGTTAGGCATTGGAAAAGCTTGGTTTATGGGAGGAGAGGTTGTGGCCATCACCTACCCCTCCACCTTAAGGGTATTCCATTAAAGCAGCCTTTCTCAACCTGTGGGTCCCCAGATGTTGTTGAACTACAACTCCCATCACCCCCTAGCTAGCAAGGCCAGAGCTCAGGGATGAGGGGAGTTGTAGTCCAACAACATCTGGGGACTCACAGGTTGAGAACTGCTGTGTTAAAGGAACCCGGGGTTGTGGTTCCTGTCCGAAGCCCAGGTGGAACCTAGGGCCATGGCACGACCTTTCCCGTGACCCTGGGGGAGACCAAGTTGATGTACATCAACAGGGCTCCCCCTACAGGTGGTTGACCATTGTAAGACTTTATGCATGGCGGGCAGGAGTCAGATATAGTCGGTTCGGGTCCAATGCCCAAAGCCAATACCACTCACATTCTGTAACCAATAAAAGTTGTGGCCTTTTTTCAGCCAATTAACCTAAAATACTTGTGTCCACGTGTTTTTATTCACCAAGGGAAGGGGTGTGGGGCCTCGACACGCAACAGTACCATTTCCAGCTGCTATGAATACAGGACTTGCTACAGTGTAAATTATTTCCTACATATTAGACATTAGTCATGACTAAATCCCACTGAAATAAATAGAATTTGAATTCGTTGCACCAAAAACCCCCACTCCTTTGTTTTTGATGTCTTTAGTTGTGGATAAATTTTTCTGGATGCTGCTCATTGCATCAGCCCATGAAAGTCGGTACCTGGTCAAGGAATGTGTGAACTGTGACCCTAAGGTGCTGGTGGAGCCCCGTTAAAATGTTCAACCCAAGCACAATTATATAAATTAAGACTGCAATCTGAAACACAGTTACTAAGGATTAAGCACCACTGAATATACCACCACCATGGGTGGTGGAGATGCAATAGGAGACCTGTGGAGCCAATGTGAGCACCACTCAGCGATGTAGCAAGCGCTGTAGTATTTACAATTATGTAGCTTTTTCTCAGAAAAGCTCAGTAAGAGATTAAGATGCGGCCGAAGAAGAGAATACAAACATCAAAGTATAGAGGGCGCCCATTTTTTTTACCCCCAAATATTATTTTAATTAGATGCCATTGTTTCTAATAGATTTTTTTCTCATCTGATAAAGCCGTTCCCCATTTCAATTATAAATAAAAAACAAGAATGTGTGGATAGTTGGCACAATCCAGCCGAGATTAAGCACTTTTAAAACACCAATTATTTTCAATGGGTGAGTTAAGTATGTAATTTTAAGCCCCGTTGATTTCAATTTGAATGTTAAGCATGTGTTTAAATCTTACCTGTTGAAATCAATGGAATGTAAAAGTGTTTCACTTTGACTGGATCGTGCTCATTATTGTCCTGAAAACAATCCAGAATATCATTTTTGACCAGATAGTTAAGATTGCTGTTAACAGGTTTCCAGCCAGCACACTTGAACATCTCAGCAGTGAAAAATGAAGCCAGAATCACAAGGCTCTCATTTAAAACTTCCTTGTAAATAGGTTTCTTTGAAATCAGTGGGGTTTATTTCCAACTAAGTGAGTTCAAAATAATATTGCTTATTTTAGTCTGGAAATTCTGATTTCTTATACAGTTCTTTCAGCATGGTACTGATCATTTTGGTGCTTTGTATGCAATTAGTGTGTCAGGTGAAATGCTTAATTTGCGTCTGTCAATGCAAGGGATCAAAGCCTTTGGCTTAGCTCCAAGCCGTGTGATACTTTATTTAATATTACCATTGTGACTTTTCATTGTTTTATTTTGTTGCTCTGATTATGGCAGAGGTTTCCCTATGAAAATGATGCTTGTATTTTTCATAGTTTGTAATTTACAATCCATTAGAAAAGTAACTTATTCATACCACTTTGTGTCCTGAAGAGCAACAAGTTTTGCCATTTCTGCAGAACATGAAAATCAGATTTGGCTTAAACACGGTGTTCTAATGGCTCTTTTTTTAATGTGCCCCCACTCCCAGATTTCCTCAAGTCCATCACAACCAGATGCCCCTGCAGATTCAAAAGAAAGTGAGGAATCAACACTATTTCAGTTTTCAGAGGTATGACAAATCTGACTTAAAAAAAAATAGAAATACAGTGTGATAAAGCAAGATGGCTTTAAATGTTGCCGTCCTTCTGAAGTACACAATTGAGGCATATAACAAATAGTTTCTCCAGCAGGTTTAATTTTTATAATGTGCTAGATACAACTGATATGTGGAAGTACATAGCAATGCCTCCTTCAAGGAAGTAGGATTTCCCCCACAGAATTAGGCTGGAGACTCTCTGCATGCAGTCATCCTGGGACAACAAGAATGAGCCCAACAAGGGGCTGCATTATGGCAAACCATAGTTAATGTTATACTGGGAACTGTAAGTTGCCTCCTACTTGGCTCCTCCATTGGCTCTGGTGTGTACAACAAACCATGATCCCTGGTTTATCGTTACATCTGAATTAGGGATTGTGGTTTGTTTTACTCCCCCAAAAACACAATAAGGAAGCCAATGTTTGTTTTTGGATCATGGTTTGTTGCTCCCACTTGTTTTTAGGAGAGGAGAGGTTTTCCACCTTAGTATGACTTCTCATGAGACTGCTGTAGAGCTTCTTTCAGTGCTAAGGCTCAGCTGGGAAAGAAATAAGGTAGTAGTAATAAAAAGAGTGTACACAGTGTGCTTTCCCTATTATTACTGAGTAACTTAAACTAGCAGTTATTTTTTGGGAGGAGGAGCACACTTGTCAGAAACTATGAATTCAGATAGACATGAGCCCCAGCACCTTTCAATTAAGAAGATCCTTAACGTAAAGGAGGTGGTGGGAAGGATCAAAATACTTCAGTAAAATACAAGATTCTTCTTCTCACAGGTGCCTTCAAGTCTCTATCCTACCTTCAAAATGATGCCTGTGTTCTAACCCCCCGCCCAAAAAAGCGCCTTCACACCAATCTGTTTATTGGGATAAATAGGTCTAAATCAGTATAAGGCAACTGCTTTGATTGTGAGGAAAGGCATCATACCTATATCATTCTCATCCCTTTTCTTAATTGCAACAATTAGTATTTCTAAAGTCCTTAAGTTTCTTGACCAAAGGATCAGTGGTTTTGCTTGGTTGTGAAGGGGGAGGTTCTATGGCAGTGATGGGAAGCCTCCCACGATCCCAATTAGATCCTACATGTCATGTTCTGGTGCGATGCTGGATTTCATGGAGAAGGAGGCAAGGCGTGACAAGCCAAGGCCCATTTGTCACTAACTAGATTCTTAAAGCCCCTGATCTAGAGACAGGCACTCCTTTGTTCCCTAGCCTACTGCCTTACGTGCTTCCTGCACTGCTTGAGGTCCTGGGGAAGGCATTTCGTTACTCCACCTCAATGGAAGGTTCCGACTCTGACCCTGTTGATACAGGAGGTTATTCCTGATTGTGATTGATTGGGGAGCAGCCCTGGCCACCTGTCAAAATGGCCACAGAGAGTTGGCGAAAGAAGTGGCTCCCCATCCCTGCTCTTTGGGTTGGGAAGGAGTCTTCCTTGTAGGGTGTCCTTCATCCTTTGCACAGACAGAACAGCCTTGTAGCTGCATCTCTCATTAGCCAAGCCCACATCATCGTTAAACCAAAGGAACAGTATACTGAAATCGCTGCCTGTGATTTTCATCCCCCTTAGCTTGACTATATAATGCAGCTATTCAAGGCACAAAACTAAAATATCTTAAGTTTAAATAAAAAATCAGTTCTGGGATGAATTTGCTTCTGAATAGCAATATCCCAGGAAATGATAAAGTAACCTCTCATAGCCTCAGATGTCTGTCAGTGCCTATGAATTCTGCTAGAGAGCACTTCTCTCGTCATCGCCGGGAACTGCTGCAGCAGAGGCAGCGAAGGAAGCTTCAGCTATACGCACATTTCTCTTCTTTGTGTTACGATCATGAATTTAGTAGGCTGCGAAGATATGTAGCACACAGTTTGGGGGCTTACTATGAAGTTTGGTGCTAGTGCAGTGTTGCAAGTCCTGGTGTTAGGTATTTGCAGTGCTTTTTTTCTTAAAAAAAAAAGTTTAGGGGTACTCTAATTTTCCTACTCATATTGAAATGCTGCCGCTCAATGAGGCCAAACTTAAATTCAAAAAAGGTTTAAGGGTTTGCGTACCCCCAGGAGAGAAGCACTGGGTGTATGTAACTTACACAAGATGTGGCACTAGAGCAGCACTGCCACAAACCGTTCTGCTGACACCCACATCAAACTGTGCTCAGGGTTCCAACCCTTCATTTGAGGCCCCTACTCAACATTCAAGCATTGCTTCTCTCTGTTAGTCACAGAGCACAAGATGGGGGTGATTCGAGTATTGCCACTTATTCTTTGTGCTCCGTTCCCATGATGCTCCAGAAACATGTATATATAAGTGCTGGAGAAGGGGAATGAGGAACAGGATCATAGAATTGTAGAGTTGGAAGGGACCTGGGGTCCTCTAGTCCAAACCCGGGGAATGCAGGATGACATGGTTACTTATTGCAGCCGCCTTTGCTTAACGTTTTAATCTGGGCCAAGGGCAGTACCGCAGCAAGCACAACATCCCAGACCCACATTTGCCTGGGTAATGCAATTGTGGGCATAGGAGGCAGCATTTCTGGGTAAGAATCAGAATAGATAGGTGCTTAGCCCACTCTATGGATGTGTTCACATCTCATGTTAAACCATGGTTAATGTTTAACTCTGGTTTACTATGAACAAGCAACATGGTGGTGCATGCTACTCAAAAGTCCTTGCTCCACTCCTGGCTATGTTGGGAGCATGACTAAGGGGATATTTCCCACAACAAACCCAGACTAGGGAGGTTATTTCCCACAAACGCACCACAAAAACCAACCTTTCCCAACCACCTTTTATTTTAATCATCAAATTATACGTAATAAAATACCTTTTAAAATATTTTAAAGCATATTGGTAGCTACACTAAAATAAAGCCGTTCCCCATTTCAATTATAAATAAAACAAAGCTAGAAGGATATCATATATCCAAACAGTCAATACTTTGTGAATCCATGATGACAATTAGGTGAAAAAACCTGTTTTCTTTTACAGTAATCGATACACTTTTGCTACTTTACCAAAAACTTACATTGTCTCGCTTCTCATTCTTGATATCTTAAAAAATGTGTTCTTAGCCATAGTTGCATACTACCATTTTTTGTCTCTCCATTCTTTAATTGTTGGTGTTTTATGTGATTTCCAGTATTTGCATAGACCGTTCTAGCCACAACTAATAGATAAGAAACAAGTTCCCTACATTCTGAGATAACTTACTGTTTTACATAATTTAAAAGAAAATGAGCAAAATGAAACATTGTATCTTAAAATATTTACCACTTGGGTTTTAAAATCATTTTCCATTTTTTAAAGGGGGAAAAAAGCATATCTCTACCTCATATGGGGAGAATCTTTCTTTTTATTCTTCCAACATAAAGATAAATAATTTTTATTCATGTTACTTATCTTTAATGGCTTAATTTGCAATCTACTCATTATTTTACAATTATCTCTTAATTCCTGCACATAAAGAGAACTTAAAAGCTACTTTCAAAAGATTTTCACATATATCCATCAGGATTCCGCCCGCTGTCCCCAGTATTTTGTGCCCATTTCACAATATATTATTTTAGTTGTCCCTGTTCTGTGTCATGTTTAACCAAAAGTTTATATATCTTTGCTAATCTATGTTCTTTAATCTTCACAACTTTCTTTTCCAAATTCTGTATGTTCTCCCCTCAATCCAGTTTTCCTTTGATATTCTTGCACTAATGATCTTACCTGACAATATTCAAACCAATTAGGGGTTTTTGCCCTGCATTTTTCTTCTAACCTCTGAATATGAAACCATCCATCCTGCTTTTCTAAAATCATTAATCCTGAATAAATTATTGTTCTTCCATGCATGAAATCCCACCTCTACATTTCCTTTTATCTATTAATTTTTCTAAAGGAGACTTGGACATAACAAATCTTTAATAAATCAAATAACAAAAAAAAAATATTATTAATAGTCTTCGGTCCAAATTTCTTATCTCCCCCATGTAAATTATGTAATAAAGTTCCCAAAACCTTTCTGAAATAACTGAATATGGTTCTTTCATCCAATCTACTAATGAGTTGAAAACAAACCTTGGCCTCAACTCATGGTTTGATTAGAAAGAAGGAAACAAACCACGAGCCCAGGATTTTATTGAGTTACTTATTTTTAATTGTTTATTTAGACCATTTCCATACCACTTAATATATAAAAATATAAGCAGTGTACAGAAAACTAAAGCAACAACAAAAGACAGCTAACAAATTTTACAAAAATGCAGACAGTTTCATATGCAATGGTTGCATAATACAAACTGCTAATAAACGTAAACTAGTATCAGTTCATTCTCCTTCCGAAACAACTCACCTCTCAGCCTCCATCATCTACCCGGTCTCCCAGCCATGGCGCAAACAACCACAGCTTACTCACTAGATGTCATAGAGAAGAGGACATCTGGAACCTGCTGGCGTTACCCTAATCTCTCACTCCAGACTTGCTTTTGCAGACAGGCACAAAGCTTCCTGAGGCTGCCCACAGCTTTGTCCCATTCAGCAAATTCCACACCCAGTCCCAGCCTATAGCAGGTTTGGTGAAGGATGGGCAATGGAGCGCTCCTCCACTCACAGCTCTTTCTCCGGCCTCTGCACGCTTCTCCAGCTACTTTCTTTGCCTGCCACAACAAGCAAAGGCGTGTGGTTTGTTGCTCCCAGTATGGCCAGGAATGGTGAAGGAGTGAGGCTATAGCTTTTGAGCACCCTGCACGAGTGCACTGCTCCATGCTGCATCACTGTTAAACATTAAGTATGGTTGACTGTGATGTGCAAATCAGTGCCAGGGCTCCCCTGCCATTGCTCTCTCAGGTGTTGCTTTCCCTTGTTCAGATGTCCTCCTCTTTCCCCCATTTTTTGGGGAGGAACATCAGTGAGTGCATGAAAGATGAAGCATCTTCAACAGTCTGTTGGTTCTCTGCTGCAAGCTCGCCTCTCTTTGCTCTCCTCTCCATTAATCTTACAAGGCCTATGTTGCTTTATAACACATGCTGTGCTGTAAGGCAGTGTTCCCCAACCTTGGGCCTCCAGCTGTTTTTGGACTACAACTCCCATCATCCCTCGCTAGCAAGACCAGTGGTCAAGGATGATGGGAATTGTAGTCCAAAAACAGCTGGAGGCCCAAGGTTGGGGAACACTGCTGTAAGGTACCAGCTGCCTTGAACAAGTTTTAGAAGTTGGTGCAGCAACAGTTGCTCTTTGCAGACACCCATAGGAGTAATTAAAAAAAAAAGTTTATACTTTTCAGGTATATACATTTCACTGATTTCACAATCATTTTAACATCTTAAAACTTGACTTCCTTCCCCCTCTTTCTGCGGTTCCTTAAATTTATTTTTAATACCTTCTGCATATCCAAATTAACTTAACTTACTCATTTATTTATCTTCTTTATATATATACACTCTTACGTAGCTGCAGGTTATTACAATAATCATGCCAGTGTTTTATCTGTTTACAATTTATCTGTAAATATTCAACAAACCTCAAAGGATTAAAATTAAGACGATAGCCAGAAAACTTTGTTTGTCTCATTATCTAATTGAGAAGTACACTTAATTCACCTCTTGAAAATGTGGCGTTACAAATTGCACTCTCAAAATTGCTTTATAGCCTAAAGCAAAGTTCTCGTATCTCACTGTATTATAATTTGAATTTATATACCGCCTTAAAGCTGGAGGTCACAGGGCGGTTCCCAGAATCACTGTAGTGATTCTCCCTAGAAAAAAGTTCTTTTCGAGTCTCATCAAGATTTATTCATTTATGTAAAGGATGTCTCAATTGCCCAGCATTAAAAAAGAAAATCATAGCGATTACAAACCCCCCCCCCAAAAAAAATACATGCAAAATACAAAGTTAAAACAATAAAATTACATCAAATCCATCTGCAAAACTATCAGGAACAATATCCAACAATGTTGCTCAGAAAAGTGCTGGTTGAATAAGCAATATCCTGAGGAGGCACCTAAAAGAACAAATTAACAGAATGAAGATAAGCAGTCCAGCTTCTGGTCTACAATTGTGTCTGAAGACAGGCAGAGTAAGAGGGAAGATGCCAGCTGGGGCAGCCATCTTGCTCTTCTACTGAAGTCGCCATGCTGGCAGAAAATAATTGTTCTCTGCTATCATTGCCACAGGATAGGCTCGGTAATGAGCTTTTACATATGTTTGGTCAGACTTAGAGTGAGTTTTCAAACACTTGCATTCTAGCTGCATTTTAGCTTGCATTCCTTTCTTTTCCATTGTCCTTTGGTCTCAGGTATACCAAGGAGCTGACTAGACTTTGCAGGAAGGGAGAGCACTTTGAGAGGATTCCTGTCAATCATCATCATCTTTTTTATTTATTTAATTTATTTATTTATTTATTTATTTATTTTTATAATTATATTTATATTTATACCCCAGCCATCTGGCTGGGTTTCCCCTGCCACTCTGGGTGGCTCCCAACAGAATAATAAAAACACGATAAAACATCACATATTAAAAACTTCCCTAAACAGGGCTGCCTTCAGATGTCTTCTAAAAGTCAGGTAGTTGTTAATTTCCTTTGTTAATTTCCTTGATGGGAAGGCGTTCCACAGGGCGGACACCACTACCGAGAAGGCCCTTTGCCTGGTTCCATGTAACCTCACTTCTCGCAGTGAGGGAACCGCCAGAAGGCCCTTGGAGCTGGACCTCAGTGTCAATAATAATAGGACAAGCTTTCTTTCAAGGAAGCTTGTCTAATGGATCAAAAAAGTCCCTATAAGCTTTCAATGAAGCCCTGGCAACACATAGTGAAAACCTCTAGCCTAGAGCAGGGTTTCCCAAACTGTGGTCTATGGGCTTCATCCAGGTGGCACATGGTCTGTCTGTGGATTTGTGGTTGAAAATTAGCACATCCATCAAATTAAATGCTCATATTTATTTTTAATTGTATTTTCATCAGCTCCTCCAACTTATCCCATTGTATTCTATTGCATTGCAACCCAAACTTTATGGAATTCTAACTGAAAAACAACAAAATACAACACACAAGAAAAGAAACAAATATGCTATCAAAAAATAATGCAGCATCTAGCACAGTGCATCACAATTGCTATAACAGACAAAAAACCCCTCCAAAAAACAGACAGAGGGTCTGCCAAGACCCTCAGCAATTTTCAACCAGGCCATGGCAAAAATGTTTAGGAACCCTGGCCTAGAGTATTCACCATTTTAAAGCATGCATATCTTAATCAGTGAGAGAATGTAGAACAGCAAGTCTGTCTACACTGAGTTTTCATAGAAGTCTGGAAGCATGAAAAGCTAGGAAACAATCAGCTGTGTATTAGTTGCTGAAAATTAGAGGGTTATCATCTATTTTACAATATAAGCTCTTGTAATGTTGACTTTAGAGGCCATTCTCTGCTATAAAGCATTCCAGAGCCATATGGAAATGTAAGAGAATCCTTTTTGTGCCAAATGAATTATCTTTGGAGGTAGAACTAGAATCATTTCCCTCAGATTAGAGTGTTTGGAGAGAGCTCTGAGGACACTTCATTGATAGAAAAGATCTTGAACTTGTTCAGCAGAGTTATTCCCCCGAGTCAGCCCAAGCAGTACTTTGCAGAGTGACTCACATCTTTCTTTGCGAGAGAAGAAGCTGTGGTTTTCATCCTGAACATGGCAGGGTACTTGCTTTTAGATTATTCAAGAGAGGAGCGCACAAAATCCTTATTTCAGCTACTGGAACCCATGTGTCTTTTATTAGCGCAAAGCTATCATTCCCTCTGGACATCTTTGGCACATTTTGTATGCCAAAATTACCCTTTTTTCCTTCCTTTTACACACCCCCCCCCCAACTTTCAAATTTCCCACTGAGAAAAGTATTGCTGTACTTTGCACGCGGAAAGCAATCTGTTGCAGTAAAAATTGTACAGTGGCTGTAAACATGCAAAAAATCCAGCAGCACAACAGTCTTATGTTGCCCTGGGACCCAGAATGCCTGAGGATTCTTGGCAGTCGTCCCAGACAGTGTTTTTGTTCAGCTTGGGTGTTCTTCATATGTTTCCTTTCTCTTTATCCCTTTCACCGTAGGAGAGAATAATGTTAAGTCTTTGTGAAAGGAATGATACCATCAAGTGCATGTGTCATTCATAATGGACAACCTTTAGCCCAGGAATAAAAGTCCCCTGTCAGTCATGCATACTCCATTATACAGTATGACACTCTTCACTGTCATTTCCATATGTTTATCACCCCTTTGCTTACCCAGTGGCTGTGTTGTTTTCCAGTGAAAACAAATAATGTGGCTAATAGGAAAGGTGTCCTTTCTTCTCGTGCTCAACCATGAGACCAGTTAAAATAGCAGAATGATGTGCAGAGATGCCTTTGTATCCTGTGGAATCTCAGAATCCACATCAACAACGCTACAGCTTATTGTGTTGATATTGACAAACTAAAATGTCACAAAGGACAGCTGTCTGCTTGCCTGTCTGCCTCACCCATTGTTGAAAGAGACTTTCTCTGCATTTTGTTTTTAAAAAATCATATCCCTTTCTTCACAGTTGGCGAGTCCTGAACCTATAAAGCACTGTAGGAAGTCAGCACTCTTCCAGTTTGCTGAGGTAAGGCACCTTTTTTATATGTGTAAAAAGAAAAGAAAAGGTATATTTTTATTAATAATATTTTGAATTTAATATGGACTGCAGAAGTTTGACACCAGAAGTATCTTTTAGCAAAAGGTGTTGGAAGAAGGAGCTGTGTAGATAAGCATGGGATTTCTGCAAAGATGTATTTCTTATAGCTTTTATGTTTTCATATACAAATGAAATTACAGGTGCAATTCAAAAAGAATTAAATGTGCTTGAGATGTGCTTTCCCATATGACAGATAAAGCTAGGTCTCCACATTTTCACAGCTTGTCAGTCTCATATTTTCTGTAATGTTTGAAAGGCGATAGCTGTACAGAAACTGCCACCTGAGCATTTCCTGCTTCTTGCTACACTTAGATCTCCCCTTGAATGGGACAGAAAAGATTTGATTGACATTTTGTTGTAATTCAGGGAGCTGGTTTTTCTGCAACATGCGAAGTGGCTCTGTGGCCCATAGGTTCCAGCAAAACTTACAATTTTCTGTAGCTTGTCATTCAGTTTCCTAGAAACCAGACAGGGAAGATAGCATTGCTACTCCGAAGAGCCCACTTTAATGTGGCAGGCAGTCTGGAAAGTTTGTTTCCCATGTTGAAGTTGACTACAGTATTTGTTCACCTTATACTAAATGAACCATTAAAGAGCCAACTATCTGTTTGGTTATAAAGATGGGTCTGGGAGCCTTGGAAGCTGAGAAGTCAATGGGGGTGTTTAACATTTTCCCATCTGCTACTTTCCCCAACACCTAGGCCAGTTTTTGCTAGCCTGGTGCTCACCAGGTGTCTTGGACTACAACTCCCACCAGGGCTTTCTTGGGTGGGCATTGTTGCCCAACAGAGCACCAGACTGGTCAAGGTTGAAGTAAACTATCCAGAGGTATGTTTGCTATTTCGACTAAGCAAAATTGATGCAGCAGAAAAACAGCAAGCAAAGGAAAAACTATGCCGCCTTCACCACTATTACCCCTTTTAAATTACTACACATACAAACTTTGTACTGGAGAAGCAGTGATCAGGGTTCTTTGACTGATGCTTACTGCCAAATTAGTGCTCAAATTTTGTTGACTCTTTTGGTCTGCCTTCAGGCATTATATATAGGAGGAATGTGAGACTTCTATGTTTTACAAACCTTCATAAATTATTCTCTGATTTCCTGTAGAACAAAAACTCTTTGGAGTGGTTGCATACCGTATTTTTCGCCCTATAGGATGCACTTTTCCCCCTCCAAAAATGAAAGGGAAATCTGTGTGCGTCCTATGGGGCGAATACAGGCTTTCGCTGAAGCTTGGAGAGCGAGAGGGGTCGGTGCGCACCGACCCCTCTCGCTCTCCAGGCTTCAGGAAGCTATCAGCAAGCCTGGGGAGCCCGCGGGAGTTCCCGCAGGGCTCCCTAGGCTGCGGATAGCAGCCTGGCGCGCGGGGCGCCCTGAAGCAGAGCGCGCCGGGCAGACATCCGCAGCCTGGGGAGTCCTGCGGGAGTTCCTGCAGGGCTCCCTAGGCTGCGGATAGCAGCCTGCTGCACGGAGCGTGCTGCTTCATCGCGCCCCGCACTTCGGGCAGACATCGGCCAGCCCCACAAGCTCGGGGGACAGCGGGGAGGCGCAACGCCGCCATCCCGCTGTTCCCCGACCTGGTTTGGTTTCCCTGACCTGGTTTTGGGGGGGAAATAAAGGAAATTTCCCCCCTTTATTTCCCCCCCAAAAAACTAGGTGCGTACTATGGGACGGAGCGTCCTATGGGACGAAAAATACAGTATATTGTAGCATACAGAAATGTGTTTACGCAGATGTGAGTACAGGTATCTAGGAACCTTGACCAATCATTTCAGAGACACATATATTTGTATGGTACATGTGCTGCATCTGTGTAACTTAATATCCAGATACAATGCTTGTATTCTCGTGACATATCCAGAGTGACGGAACATGCATGGAGGAGAGAATCTACATGCATTCAGTTGAATGTTTGCATGGCATTCACATGTTTAGATAGGTGGCAGTGCTTGCTCTCATGATCCTATATGTGTTCATTCGGACTAGATTAGTTGCAAAAGCATGACTCTAGGTCAGTGTTTCCCAAACGTTTTTGGGCAACGGCACACCTGTTTACCGGAAAAAAATCTCGCGGCACACCACCATTAAAGCCCCGCCCCGTGACGTCAGCGCGCAGCGTCACGCCGGGAGGGACGCACAAAAGTCAAAGTTTTTTCCCTCCCCGCGAAGCAATGAAAGAGGGCGCCTCAACACCGGGAGGTGGGCAGGGAGCGGGGGGAGCGGCCAGACGGGCTCCGCTGGGGGACTTTCGGCTGCCGGAGGCGGGGAAGGGGCGGCTGCAGCGGACCCGGAAGTGGTTGCGCCCATCGGGGGCGGTGGGAGCGCGCCGTGCGGGTTGGTGGGTGGGGGAAGGAGAGGAAGAGGAGGGGGCGGCGGCGGCGGCCGGAGGCTGGACGGATCCGCGCAGGGACGGCGCGCGAGCCGGGAGGAGGCGCGAAGAAGGAGGCAAGGCGAGAGCAGCGCGGCTCGGGATGCATTCGGACTGCCGGCTGCTGCGCCCGAGACGCGGGGTATGGTGAGCAGCCCGGAGCGCCCGCTCCCCCGGGGGACCCGGCCGGCGCTGGCCTCCCTCCTCCTCCTCCTGTTGCTGCTCAGGCGGGACACGGCGGCGCAGAAAGGTGCGTGCGGGAGCCCCGCCGGGAGGGGAGGGACCAGAGCCTTCCCGCCTTTCTTGCTTGGCGCCCACCCAAAAGCCCGCCGGGTTTTCGCGCCTTCCTCCAGTAGGCCGGCCGAAGCGAGCGGCGATGGGATGTGGGAGCTCGCTCGCTCGCCGCCCCGCGTGTGCTCGCCGCCGCCGCCCCGCCTCTCGCCGCCCGACTCGCCCGCCTCCCTCCCACGGCACACCAGCCGGTGTCTCACGGCACACTAGTGTGCCGCGGAACACCGGTTGGGAAACACTGCTCTAGGTAACCAATGTGTTGCACAAGGGTATATATTCTTGCACAGCAAAACAGTTATTATTTTTTGGCAAGATACCTAGCTCCTTGTTACAAAACCACACTTGTAAATTAGCTCATTTCGCCACCAACCTTTCAAGTAAAATGGGAGGATCCAAACTACCATACAAAGGTAAAGATGGCCTGATTTACAACTGTGTAAACTGATACAGCTCTAGTGAGTTGAACATAGACGGTCAATGAAGATATATCTGTTTACACTAAAGGAAACACTTGTCCTGTAGTTTTACAGTCTCCTTAGTGATGGCCTAATTCATTAATGTTTACCCCAGGAACTGAATGCCATACTTGAAAGCATTACTCGGGTACTTTCTAGTATTAACATAATATTTCTTTATATAATTCTTCTCTGTTTGGATCCCCAGCTCTTCCAGTGGTGATTGTGGAATTTGAAATTTCCTTTGACATTTTGCATTGCGCTTGGAGGCACAACTTTTATCAGTGACATTGTGATACTATCTTCCCCCACCCCTTGCTTTCTTTGTTTCTACTTTAGATTTCATCAAGTACATCCCATTCAGGTCCTCCTGAATTAACAAAGCAGTGTGGGACATCGGCATTGTTTCAGTTGGCAGAGGTAGTATTAAAATCCTGTGGCTTAATTACTACTGAATGATGCTGGTTGCCAAGGTCTGGGAAGCGGAGCAGTAGTACAGTCATAATTAGCATTGTTGTTTATAGAACCGTAAATTACCATGTTGATGCCAAGGAACAAGATTTACCTTGTCTAACCATTAGGCACACAGTCTCCGTAGAGCCAAGGCGGCAAGTTAAGAACTGCTAGCTTCAAGGTGCAGTAGTGCACTGGGTAGTAGGCAACAGCCAATATGTGAAATACTGCTCTTAATTCTTTTGTTCTTGGTTTTAAAGAATGTTTTATATGGAAAAGTTCACAAAATGAAAATTGCATGGTGAGAGAGTTGTGCTACTTCTTCCAGAGATGCAACATGCATTGTCCAGTAGAGGAGCCCATGACTCTCATGCAACTACAATCTGCATGTACCAAGTTAGTAGTCTCTATAGAAGCCAGTTCCCACCATTCCGTCATTCCCTAGAGAGAGAACTAAAAAATTAGAATATTTTGAAGAACAGGCTTTATTTTCAATGAGTGGGATCACTGTCCCCTGAGTAGGTCCATGCAATGTAAAATCCTCTCTACTGTACATGTTTTAGCCATATTCCAATCACAGATTTTGCTTCTATTTAAATAATGATAAATGAATACATATAGAGGTGGCTGTTTTCTTTGGTTAGACAAGGCAAATCTAAATTACACTTGGGTTTTATATTGAGCTGATACCAGCTGAAAGCAAAGACACTCTTTGTAAAATCCTCTTACATGTACAGTCTTTTTTCACTTGATCGCGATGAGCATGGCTTACATAGCACCCCTGCTTTCTAATTCAGAGGATGACACCATCAGGTTAAAAACTAACAAACGACAGTGCCACTTTTCTCAAGTATTTCTTTTAACATCTTTAGGAAGATATTTGCCACAGTTTAATATGAACATAAGGGTGCTCCAGCCCACTACAGTCGGTGGGTTAAGCACATTTAACTTTGTACAGGGACACTGTGTTTTAAAGTGCTTCGCTTTATTGTGCTTCACAGATATTGCTCCTTACAAGAATGTAGGTGCAGCTGCAGGCAGCCCCGCTCCCCACCACCACTGCGCCTCTTCTGGCCATGGGAGTGGAACTGGCTAGAGCCAGTTTTTCCCCTGCAGCCTCGGGTGGCTGGCTTAATAGACAATAGTATAGTTTAACATTACTTTTATATGCCACTAGGGGACGCGGGTGGCGCTGTGGGTTAAACCACAGAGCCTAGGACTTGCCGATCAGAAGGTCGGCAGTTCGAATCCCTGCGACGGGGTGAGCTCCCATTGTTCGGTCCCAGCTCCTGCCAACCTAGCAGTTTGAAAGCACAAAGTGCAAGTAGATAAATAGGTACCGCTGTGGTGGGAAGGTAAACGGCGTTTCCGTGCACTGCTCTGGTTCGCCAGAAGTGGCTTAGTCTTGCTGGCTACATGACCCTGAAGCTGTCTGTGGACAAACGCCTGCTCCCTCGGCCAATAAAATGAGATGAGTGCCGCAACCCCAGAGTCGGTCACGACTCAACCTAATGGTCAGGGGTCCCTTTACCTTTACCTTTAGGAAACCAAAACATTTAGTGCCTGACTCATTCAGCCCTCTCAGGCTCTATTTATGAGGATCCAAGATCAAGGACTTCCCAGGTCCCTCTTGAACTCTAGCGAGGGGAATTTCCTCTTAGCCTCTTCTGTTTCTGAGTTGGAGGAAGGGAAACAGTCCAGAGAAGAGCCTCCCGTCCCCACACAAAACACATAAGAAACCTCCTCATTCCCTTCGTTCCAGGGGATGTCCCTCCACCTGCAGTTCCAAAAGCAAATTTCAGGATTCCTGGGTCTCCTCCTGATCCCAAGGCCACTGCAAATCAGTCAGAGGCTTCAACTAATATTGGGCTAAGAGGTGCCAATTCAAGGAGACCCGGATATGATGCCAGGAGCCTGCTGGTGGGAGGCCGTCTGCATCTGTTCACAGAGGAGTGTAAATGCTAATTATAGGACCCACGAATGCTGGACAATGTTTATTTAATAAGTTTATACACCACATTTTCTTCCAAAGAGCTTATGGTGGTGCTTCCCCCCCCCCCATTTTATCCTCACAGCAATCCTGGGAAGTAGGTTAGGCTGAGAGGCAGTGACTGGTCCAAGGTCACCCATTGAGTTTTATGGCTGAGTGGGGATTCAAACCCTGGTCTTCCATAGAGCTCAGTAATTGTGACGGTTATCACATTGTGCTATTAGGATGTGCTCCCCATTGTCTGGTAATCCTGCTGCAAGTATATAGGCTGTGTAATGTTGAACTGCCAAGAACAAGGGTGGTTTTTCTGGAACAAGTCACAAAGCTCTTACCCAGCATTGCACTAGAAACGTGAAATTAATGTTTTACCCTTGTTTTAGATGTGCCTTGCCTCAGAGGAAGTAAAAGTGAGGGAACCCGGGAAGGGAAAGCTAGAAGCATCCAGAATTATCAAAGCTTTGGAAGCACCAGAGGAGATCAAAGTTGAAGAACCAGAGAGGGTGAAAGTAAAAATCGAAAAATCTCATAAGGTGAAGGGCCAAGAGCATGAGAAGACAAAGATTGGAACGTCTGAGGAGGTGACAAGATGCAGTCACATTGCAGATCCTTCTTTGGACAGCATGACGTTAGTTGGACCTGACAGCACAATTGCAAAGGATTCTGTATGCCATTCCCAAGAACTGACAATGGCTGACATCAGCACCTTAGGATTAAGCAAGCCGGAAAAGCTAAAGAAGAAAAAGAAGAAGAAAAATAAGCCGGACCAGCAAGCACTTGAAAAATGTACCCCCAAGAAGGCTTGCAAAAAGAGGCAGTCTTCTGAGTCAGACATTGAAAGCGTCATTTATACTATTGAAGCGGTTGCAAAAGGGGACTGGGGGGCAGAGAGACTCACAGAAGTGCCCCGTAAGAAAGCCCGCCCTTCCTCAACGGCGAAGGGGAACATCTTGGAAACAAAGTTACCAAAGAAAAAAGTGAAGTCGAAAGAGAAAAGAGCTCTAAAGGAAAAATGTGTAGAGACCACCAAAGAATCAAAGCCTCCTGATTTTTTTGACGTTGCCGACAACAAGGAACTGCCATGCGAGGTACCCGAAATCATCAAATCGGAACCACTCACCCCAACGGAAGAGGTGATGCCACAAAGCTTACCAGAGCAGGTCAAAACCGAGGACACTGACTGTAACAAAAAGACAGAGACATGTGGCTCGAGGAAATCTGAGAGATCTTGTAAGGGTGCTCTGTACAAAACTCTGGTGTCAGAAGGGATGCTGACATCCCTGCGTGCCAACGTTGACAGAGGTACGTGGCTTTTAACCTGTCTATGTTTGGCATGTCTGATACAGGCAGTGACTGTTGCTGTGTTAGCATCTTGATCTGGAGTTTCTTCCAACAGCACAAGAAAGAACAGTGGCAAAAGCCTAGAGCAAGGGTAGGGAACCTCGGGCCCAGAGGCCAAATGCAGCCCTGCTGCCAAGCTCTCAGGCCACACCCCCTCAGTAGCCATGCTCCAAACCATCCCCAAGTGCCTTTGCATGGCTGAAACTGTGATAATGCCTCTTGCTTGCCAGGATGGGGGGGGGGTGTTTGTGTATGGTGGTTGCAGAAACCCAATATTTACATAGCTGGAATGTAGCCTACTGTACAAAATAGGAGTCACGTCCATCGCCTTGGGCGCTTTTGTTGAAAATAGGAATTGATTTTAAAATCATTTTTAAAAGTGATGGATTAATTTGGTTGCTTAAATCTGATGTTTTTCCTTGACAGACTCAGCCTTAACAAGGTAAAGGTACTTTGAGATTCAGGATAATTAATTTAATCACACCACTTTCACAAATATATGAGGAGCTGCTTGGGAGTTGCAACGTTCAATAATAATTTTAAGTTGCAGGAGTTTTGCAGGTCCCGGTGTAGGTGCCCATCTGCCTGCCTGCCTGCCCAGCTTCCTTCTGTCTTTATGCCCTGGATTCCATAACATGCTCTATGTTTCCTAATGTCTTTCCTAGGGAAACGAAGCTCAGGAAAAGGCAGCAGCTCTGATCATGAAGGATGCTGGAATGAAGAAAGCTGGGCATTTTCCCCTGGTGGGGCAAGTGGGAACAAAAAGCTTAAAAAACCTAAGCCAAAGGAAGAAATAGTTGTGGGGTAAGTGCTATAATGTGCAAGTGTGCCGTTTTGAGTATGCAAACTTTTTCAAGCTTGTTTTAAAGCAAGTAGAAATTGCCTCATTTTCATAGGTTGACTGTGCTTTATGTCACTTTAGTAAAATATAGTCTTCTAACAAAAGGAATGCAACATTAAATCACCTATTCAAAGTTATTTTCCACTTTCCCCTATGGTTCTTGTTCACTATCAGTCTTGTGCTGGTATTTTGCCTTAGACAGAGTTTACCACCTATTTGGGGCTGCATTCCCTCGCATTCGAAAGCCACAGTCCCAGCACATAAGGCATCCCCTACCAACCTCATTCCGTTGGCTGTGTCTCAGTTAGAAGGCTTGAAATCTCCAGAGTTGAATCACCTATTCAAACCCATTTTTATTTCCATGTTAGCCTTAAGCCATACTAGAAATACAGCACATGGACGATTGATATATGTAAAATGATTAACAGTATCTGTACAGATGTGTACAGTAGACTAGAAGTAGGTCAACCAAAATTGTCATTACAGCAATCGTGACAGCAGTTCACAAATGGGGGGACTCAACAAAAGCACCAATAGTGAATAAGCTCCCGTTCTTTGTTGACGTCTGCTTTTAAAGAGTCAATCCTTTGTCAGAGTGAAGAACTCTAGTCAAATCCAGATACTCCAAAATTGGATCTGATTTCATTCGTTCTGTGTAAGGTTGCAGATACCTTGCTCAAATAATAAAATTAAAATAAAAAATAAATTGGAAGGCTACATGTACACAGCTGCATACCATGGATAAACATTTACCTAGTAAAGCACACACACTTGGGTGAGGAATCCCTACAGGTTTAGAGTGTGTGTGTGTGGATGTATTATCAGGTTGCTGGCATAGTCTTTACTCCTGCATGCTGGTGTAGCCAAATACATGTTTTCACCCACAAATTGCAGTTGTTGAATTGGAGCCAATTCACCATTTCTTTTGAGCCACTTTCCCATTTGAGACTTAGTCTAAAGCCATTGTTTGAATGATTCATAGCTACAGGGAAAACCAATAATACATTATGCTTAACTGATCTGATAAAACAGAGGTGTTCATCTTTATAACTTCTTAATGGAGCAGACTACTAGCTATACTCCATTGTGAGGCTGGGAGTTTTCATTTCTCAAACAAACAAGGAAGATTAACTTACTGGCAAGCAATATTTCCATTCCTATAATGCACCAGTGGGTAAGGGATTTTTGATTCTGCCTCACCGTAAAGTACTTGGATTGCTAGCATTAATTATCTTCTTTCTGTTGTTGAGAGGTAGGGAGAGATAATCTGTCTTCGCAAGTTGATTTTTTTTTTCCTATATGAAGAATCACATCCTATTTCTTTTTGCTAAAAAAAAACTAGTCAACCCTTTTCTAATTTTCCCTGTATCATATTTTTTTATTTGCTAGGAATAATACCCAGATTCTTTGTCCCACAGTAATCTGCAAAAATATTCAATAACCTTTGTAATTCTATTGAATTCCATTAAATTAATGATGCATTGTCTGTTCTCAATAAATACTTTAATGACATATTTTTCAAACATTGTGAACCTAAAATTTCTCACCCCCGTATATGAATTCAGATTGTCTTGTGGCACCCAATCTGTTTTTAAACAACCTTGTGGAACTTCTTGTTCCATTGTAAAGCTGTTAGATAATGTCTCTCCTAAACCAGACCTTATGGTGAAATATCTGTGTTGTTTAAAAATGTATACAGCCGTACATCGGAAGTCGAACAGAATCCGTTCCGGAAACCCGTTTGGCTTCCAAAACGTTCGGAAACCAAGGCGTGGCTTCCGATTGGCTGCAGGAAGCTCCTGCAGCCAATCAGAAGCCGCAGAACCAGTATCAGATGTTGGGGTTCCAAAGAAAGTTCTCAAACCGGAACACTCACTTCTGGGGTTGCAGCGTTCAGGAGCCAAAACGTTCGCATCACAAGGCGTTTGATTTCCGAGGTACAACTGTATTATGCTTTATCTAGTTCCTGTCAGTTTTCCCCACAATTGCCTTCTACTCCCTTTAAATCAAAAGTCATGTAAAGCTGCTCATTCTTTGGGTACATTTAGTAGCCCGATCCTGTGCATGATTACTTGGAAGCAAGAATGCTGTCCTTTACATACCTACTGAGAAGTAAGACCCATTGAGTTCAGTGGGACTTACTTCCAGGAGAATGGGTGTAGAATTGTAGCCCAACAGTGCAATTCATAATCCCAGGCAGGCAGCAATGGGATGGGATGGAGCAGCATAGCTACATCCGCAGCCTTGCCGCTCAACACCAGGGTGGTGGATAGACAAAATGCTGCTCTGCATCTGAAGGCAGCCCTGTTTAGGGAAGTTTTCAGTGTTTAATGCTGTATTATGTTTTTGATATTTGGTTGGGAGCTGCCCAGAGTGGCTGGGGAAACCCAGCCAGATGGGCGGGGTATAAATAAATAAATTATTATTATTAAGGGACGCGGGTGGCGCTGTGGGTAAAACCTCACTGCCTAGGACTTGCTGATCGTAAGGTCGGCGGTTCGAATCCCCACGGCGGGGTGAGCTCCCGTTGTTCGGTCCCAGCTCCTGCCCCCCTAGGAGTTCAAAAGCACCCCTAAGTGCAAGTAGATAAATAGGTGCCACTTTATAGCGGGAAGGTAAACGGCATTTCCGTGTGCGGCACTGGTGCTGGCTCGCCAGAGCAGCTTCGTCACGCTGGCCACGTGACCCGGAAGTGTCTTCGGACGCCGCCAGCTCCCAGCCTCTTGAGTGAGATGAGCGTGCAACCCTAGAGTCGGTCACTACTGGCCCGTACGGGCAGGGGTACCTTTACCTACTATTATTACCTGTCTGGAATCACGTAACAGCAGTGGGGCCAGTTCAGGATCCATTCCATGCCACATTCTATTCAAATCCCACCAGCAGTACTTCTGCCCACTCATGATTTAGTTGGGCAGAATGGGGAGCTCAGTGCTGGAAGAGTGACACTGGCATGGCTGTTTTGGGCTGTGCAGAGGGAAGCCTCCGCCCAATCCACACACACGAAACCCATGGGGGATCAGGGTTTTGGATGGCAACCTAAGTCCCATTTCTGGTATATGACTTCCTCCCAGGTACTCCTCCCATCTTTTTTCACACTGTATAGTGATTTCTTAAAAATTGTTTAAAACACAATCCCCCTAAATACAGTGGGATACATACTTCCAAGTCAGTATGTATATGTATAGGATTGTTCTGCACTATATTGTAAAACAAAGTAATGATCCACGCAAGAACAGCGTCATAAAAGCTTTACTGCTCTTTACTGTTGTACAGTTTTACTGAATAAAAGTGACTTACTGGTTTATGTTGTTATACAGGCTTCACAGCAAATGATTAAGTAATTTTCCATTTTAATAGTATTATTTTAATATATAGTAATATGATTTTTCATTTCCCCAAAGCTTACCTGGCAGTTTTCCTTAATAATATTGTTCCTTTATGACCATATCCATGTTTCAGTTTGCCTCACAGCTGATTGCAATTTATTAACAAAATGCAATAAATTCTAAAAATAAAATAATAATCTATGAATATTTGAGGAAATTCCAGTAAATCAAATCAAAATTCCAAATGAAACCACCTTTTACCTGGAAGTAAGTGCCATTGACTCGGTGGGACTTACTTCTGAAAAGATTGAGATATTAGCCCTAGCGTGGCAGACTCTTGAAATTGTAGGCACAATTGCATGTGGAAAGCTGTTTGTTTTTTTTAAAAAAAGTATTTCCACATGATCTGACCTGTGGCTCCATCTTGTTGATTTGGTCTTGCTGATCAAAAAAAGAGTAACAACAACAATTTTTTTCGCCTTCCATTTTCTAGCTTAGCAAAGCTGGAGGAAGAATTTGAGAAAAAATTCAACAGCCTCCCTCAATACAGTCCTGTCACATTTGACCGGAAAAGTGCATCTGTTCCAAGAAAGAAGAAGAAGCTTGGTAGCTGCTCAACAGACCAACAGAAATCTAACAAAGGTGAGAGGCTTCTGGATAATCCATTCCCAGTTATTAGCAGTCACCCTGCTAGGCCAGAAGCTCTTACAGTCTCACTTCACTTAATGTATGCATGTTTGAGCAAAGATACATATTTTATTTGATCATGTCAGAACTTTCACACATTCTGCTCATTGCTTTTCCATTGATGCCTGGTTCTATGTGGGAAGAGGATAGGCAAGTTATACCTCAGGAAAGAAGGCCTACTGTTTTATTTAAAAATACTTCAGTTTTGCCTGCTTACTATTTTAACTGCATAAACTTCTAAGAATAGTTTGCTTTTTAAAAAAAAATATTTATTTTTACAGCTTTTCAAAACTTCTTTCTTTTCTGTTCTAGGTTGAGAAAATAGTAAGATTAGCCTTGGGCATATTTGGTAGTCTTGAACAAGCTTTTTAATCTCTCATCCTGAGACCTTGTTTGTGAAATATAAACAGAAACATGCCCTATTGCACATGGATGATAAGAGGAGTAACAAAATAAAAATATAACTTGTTTGTGCATTTGAAATGTAAATACTTTATTTAGAGAGAGGGAGATTGGTCACAATCTTCCAGTGATTGAATACCACCAAAATCAGTGAAACTACAGGTTGCTTCCATGCTAAGTTGTGCTGTTATTGCTTTTCTGCCAATCAGCTAGAAATGGCGCCTAATATTCCATTATATTAACCATAGGCTTCTATAATATTTACTCAGAAATAACTTTAATTCAGCAAAGGTTTCCTGTATATTTCATTAAAGGTTTCCTCTTGTGGGGAAGAAACCTGTAATTAAACACCACCACCCCGGCGGGGTCAGGATTAATTAACAGTTATTGTAGTCACACACACAAATCAACATATATACCCTTATTTTTAGATGTAGCTATCTCTCTCACTTCAGTGTTGAAAGAATAGTACTTTTCCGGGTCATTCTAGATAGACTGCCTCTGCACTTGTGCTTGAAATGAGGGGGGAAATCACTGTAACAGTGGTGAAAAAAAGATTGGTAGACAGTATTGAAAATACAAGGATGCAACAGGCTGGCAACAATATCAACTAAAAAGAAAAAGTGAATGTAGAAAAGATAGCAATTTCAGACCAAATGTCTAGCATGAAGGCATTCTGAATTTCTTAATTCCCTTTCACTTGATTTCAGTGGCACTTAGCCACCACTAACTGTTGGTGGATTGTGCCTGTTAATCAACAAAAAGTCACTTGCAGAACAACAATAATGCAATCAAGGGAATAGTTGCCTTGTTTCAATGGAAGAGGTTGACAGGCAGAAACTTCTGACCGCCTATACTGCAGGCCTAAATAGAAGCCCACCTCTGACATGGGGGGTGTGTGTGTGTGTGTGTGCTCTCCTACACTTACCTTTGACTCCTGGCAAATGGTTAGTGCTGTGGGTGGTCGGTTGCGGACGTGCCAATCCCCAGTTGGACATGGGGAAAAGGAACCAGGCTGCCCTTTGCTCTCAGCACTGTCAGCCTATGTTGTGATCAGCACAGTCACATTTAACAACAGGGGTTGTCTGTAAGATTGAAGTGGCAGAAAGGGAAGCTACTGTAGCAGCAACCATGCAGTGGTCAGTACAGGAAAATCAGAATTCTTTGTCTCTCCTAAATACTCCAGAGTCTGCGACAATGCAAGAACCTTTGGTTGGCAGCCAGAAGAGAAAAGCAAGGAAAACCAAGATCACACACCTGGTTCGAACTGCAGACGGCCGAGTCTCACCAGCAGAAGTTCTGGGTAAGAATGTGACTGATTTTTTTCTCTAGGTAGTTTTCAAAATTCAAAATACTTGTTCATTTGTTTTTATTTCTTAAAAATAAACATGATTTGTGGGCTGGGTGGACAGGAAATAGTTTGGGGTTGAGGACAAACAAGTCCTAAGTTCTCCTCTGGGAGATGTATTTCTTCCTCTACAGGGCACAGCTACTATTATCAGAAGAGAAGGAAGATGAATTCAGTGCCTTCTTTGCTTGTAGGCATCCTCTAGTTGGCATTTATTTATTTCATAAAACTTATATACCACTTGATTGTAAAAAGCCTCAAAGCAGTTTGTACTCCTGACAAAGACTAATATGGGTCTGTTACAGAGAATATATTTTCAGTTTTTGAGCATCAGTTTGTAGTCTGGCCTCTTTCCCACCCCCACAGTACCTGTTCAGAGAAGGAAGAAGCACTGAACAAGGCCGGACATTTTGAGCAGGGAGGGAGGAATGTATGTCTCCAATCCTTACAGCTTTAGGAGTCCCTTCAGCTGTTGTTTAAAGTTTACATTTTGCTTTCACTATAGAAGAGAAACCAAAGGAGCAACTGCAGAATAGTCCTCTGAAAGCATCGAGTATAGGGATGGACTGCAGCGAGGAATCCTTGCAAAACAGTGAATTGGAGGAAGGTCATAGTGTTACACCAGACATGCCATCTGTCTCTGCATTCTTTAGCCTAGCTGCTCTAGCAGAGGTAGCAGCGATGGAAAATGTGCACAGGTGAGTATGTGCTTTCTTCACCCCTTTGGCTTGTAACAACTCTTCATTGTAGCATCTGTACTTACCTTTGAAATAAAGCACCTAGATCAAGCAGCACTTGAACTGTCTGCTGTGATCTACTTAAGAGCACCCTATTTGGTACATATTACTTGCATACACTGTTGTGTCCAATGCAGCATTCATGCAAGATTGTGCTCACACAAGCAGAATTCCCTGCCCTTCCTCCCCGCTGCAGCCCTGTGACTCCTAAAAAGCTATTCTAAGGGCCAAGGAATCCTCAGGACAGGCCTGGCAGTTGGGACAGGGGGTATATAGTGAGCAGGAAGGCTGTGCTCATTCCTGCTGCTGCCACCTGAGGCAGTATGCTTTTGGAAACTGCAAAAAGGAAGAGTGCAGCTGTGCTCAGGTGATGCTTGCAGGCTTCATTGATTGCTTTTACTTATATGCCACTTTTCCACAACAAGCTGTGCCCAAAACAGCTTGCAGCAAACATTAGAAACATTGAAACAGAGAACATTGGGAATACAAATATACAAAATACAATGTCAGTAAATTCAGAACAACACCAATCAACAATCTAGCAAACACAGAATAAACACAATGTTACAAAAAAAGAGAAAGCCACCCCGATCTAGGCTTAAATACAAAGCAAAAACAAAAGTTTACTGACAATAGAGTTTCTGGTACTGGTCTTGTTGCACTCCAAGGAGCCTGGCTTAAATACAGTTCAAAAAGGAGTGGTAGATGACATACAGCTGGCCTACAGGCTAGGTGACATACGGCTGGCTCCTACATCTCTCATCCAGAACAGACTGACAGCACCAAAAAGCAAGTGTTGGGAAGAGCGATGATGGTAAGTCTCTTCCCTAGCCTCCTGGAAGTACCACCTGGTGGTGCAGGTCTTATGGCTTCCCATATGCATCTGATTGGCCCCTGTAAGAATAGGATGCTGGACTAGATGGGCCACTGGCCTAATCCAGCAGGACCTGCTTATGTCCTTACAGCAACTTTTCTCACTTCTGAACCTTTCCTGGGGGTTTCACATCTCACATTCCTGGCCTTTTTAGGGGGTTACAAGGACTGCATTGAGAAGGAGGAGGTAGACAAGTGCTGCATTGGATACAACCCACAGTCATCTTTGATCTCCCCCCCTCCCCCTTATTTGTAGGTGAACCCTTTAGTCTCGCTTGACTGTTTAGCATAATTTGTTCATAGCAAGAAACCAGGCTAGTATGTGGTGGGGGGTTTTAAGCCGCAGTTTCTGTGTGCCAGGTTCAAAAACCAACTCAAACTGCATACTCATTTTCCAAAGAAGCAGGGAAATTCAAAATATATCGTGCTAAGCTGCTTTCAAGACAGAGATATCAGAAGTTCATGTGCACAGTCGGAACAATATCTCCCTTGAACACAGAGATATCTTAATGAAATTTGGTGTGTAGGTTTGCAGCATAATTTTGTTTGAAATTCAGACCTCAGCGTGACTCCTGCAACTGTTTTATGGAGGAAAAGAGAGAGACAGAAAGAGATAATACAAAATACATTTCCATAGTGAGGCTCTCAAGCAATCCGCTTTACTAGCGAGCACGATGGGAGCTGTGTTTATTGACCAAGCTTTCAGTGAGGCCTTTGTGTTCATTTGACCATTCAGCATTCCATTCGTTACTGCTTGTTGGTTTGTAATGCGTTAACTCTCTCGAACCCTGAGACAGCAGAGTGAAATTTGGAATATGCATTCAGGAATTAAAGTTGGTGTGTATGTCCAGGACACAGCATGTCAAGTTCAGATCCCTCAGGTTAAAAGGAAAGAAGGCAGATGCAGAGTAAGATTGTGATATAGAACAGGAACAAAGGTCACCTGAACACCGCACTTTCCTCGTTTTTTAATTAAACTTACTTCAAAATATAATGAGCACTGAGGATCCTGATTCCTAGTCAGTGGAAGAGATTGTCTTTATAATTCCCAAGCACGTGTGATCTTTGCTAGCCAAATGAAATGTTTGCATTTTTAAGGTTTTAAGCAGCATCGAGAATGCAAAGATTCCTTAAAGGAGATATTAATAAATCTGTCAGGCTTTGACAAGGGTCTAGGAACCAGGGCTTGGGGAGAAGCTGGCTTGTTATGTACTGAGTTGAATAGGATCCAAACTGCAGCAGTCTGATTGGCCCTAGAACAATAGGATTCAAAAGGCAGCAGTCTGATTGGTCCTAGACAATGCAGCAGTATGATTGGTTGGCAGGAACTACCCAATCATGCTCCAGATAGAAGTGAATCCACAACCTGATTGGCTTACAGTAGAATTCCGGAATTAGCCAATCATGTGCAGCCCATTGTGTAAATAATGTATATAAAGCAGATACTTTGAGGGGACATTCATTCATTCCTCCTCACCACTATGAGCTGAATAAAGAGCATGAAATCACTTTGCGACTCTGAGTATATTTCATGGCTGTTAGTCAAAGTGAGCCAGAAGCAGGTTTATAGTCCGAAAGAGTTTGGAGAGGCACATACTAAAGTAGAAATGGAGGATCAAGAAGGCCAGAAAGCGGTCGGTAGCTAGGGAAAGCAAAGTAGGTGTCAAGATGGATTTAGGGACCAGAGGCTGTTGCATGGGCTTGGAAACGTAACGTTGCAAATTAATTCTGGGTTGACATTCCATCTGTTCTTCCTTTGCAGAAATCAGAGGACGGCGCCTCTCCCATGTGATGGACAGCCAAAAGAAATGTCTCAGGCTCCAGTGCTTATTTCCTGCGCTGACCAGTGAAACTCTACCCTATTGTAAAACGTTGTGCTTTACCTAATATCCCAGCCTTGTCTTTACCAACGGATGCTAGTCAGTCCATGTGATGGAGGAACCCATAGACTGAAAATGAGTGGTTTGTGTTCAGGGTAGCACAGATTTCGCTTATAGCTTGGGTCAGGTCCCCTCCGGTTTGGGGCACAAGAATCTGCTGCAAGGGTGTTGTTGTTTTTTTCTCTGTTAAGCAACAGAAACGAAAAGATCCTGGAGCTTTGCTTTCTATTGAAGGTTTTTAAAGTGGTAAATACATAGTTACATGGAAGAGGGCAGACTTTACTGTAGCTCACACAGCATCTGTTTTATCAACCAGAATATGGAAAATAGTTTCATATAATAACTAGCTACTCTAAAAGAAAAAAAATACAGAAGAGGAAAGGGGGAGAAACTGACGCACTGCACTAGTTACTAGATATTCTTAGTCCTTTTTGTACATGAAGATTTCAGTTCGGAGATGGTTTATATAATAGGTTATGCCTACATTTATATATTTTAGAGTGAATTTAAGAACCTGTTTGGAGAATTCAAGAAAGCGTGGGGCAAGCGTACCATTGTTAGTGGCGTATGCGCGGCCCTATGGCCCATAAGTTCTGCACTTTTTTGTATTTGCCACCAGGATGGTAGAGTTTATTGGCAAAAAATGTTGACAGACTTTATTTTGCTTGGGTTTTTTTTTTTAATTAAGCATAGAATAATGAGGATGATCTGCATTTGAAACAAAGGTTTGGCATATTGAGAAGAACAATTCTGCAGATTACTTATTTGTCTTTCAAGCCTTGGAGGGTTCATTTATTTTTGGATAGAGGTCTAAAATGACTATGTGGGAACTAAAGCAGTGAAACAGGAAAAAAAATACTATTAATATGTTGTTCAGAAGTGACCTTAGTATTACTTCACTCTTTGGGGCAGGGCGGGGGAATTTTCAATTGACATGCACACTGATGAACATATTATACATTTTACAGACACTGGAATTGTCATAAATACTATGCACAGTCTAAATTGGCTTCATTGGTTGTATGAAGTGCCAATGCTAGTTTGGGATAGCTAAGTGCTGAGTGTTGTGTAAGTGAGTGATGATTGAGAAATAATGTTACTAAATTTAGGCTGTCAGACAGATCCCTTTCCAGTTCATGTTCCTTGTCTTTACTCTATAGGTTCTAACTTACTCCCATGCACACATCTCATGCCAGAGCAGATTCCAGCTTTCTTTACTTTTTTCTTTCTGTTTCTTAACCACTTCTCTTTTACCAGTTGCCTACGATCCAGTACGGCACACCTGGAGCAATCAGGGCTGCGTGTCCACAGAGCCCTCAAGAGTTAGCCCCACAAATTAGCTGCTTGATGTTCAACAGCCGATTGGCAGGATTTTCGCTTTGGGGGTAGCGCCCCCCAGCCCAGCTGTTGGAGCATTAAAGGGAACTGTGCACACAACACTTGTTTGTGCCCCATCCAGCTAGGGACACACAGATAGAAGCCTGTTTCTTCATCCATATAGCCCCTGGCTGGATTGAGGCAACTATTGTTCCTAGCAGCAAAATATTCATTTGTTATTAGAATTTGACATGAAGTTACACATTCAACACAGGGTACTTCTTCCACAGCACAAGATGTTTCCCTGCATATTTTGCATCATAGCACAAAGACTTAACCAAATGCTATTGACCAGACCCCAGCAATAATTTTCTATGAGTTTTCTTCTCTCTGGTGGGATTTTGATAGTGTTCAGTTCAGCGAGACCCCTTTTTTTATTGATTAGGTCTCTAAATGATGAGAGTTTACACAATTTTATCAGGCTTTCTTAATTTATACTTGACAGAATTGATAACGGATGTGTGTTTTGGGATTTTTTTGTAATTGGATTTAATAGCCATATGAAAAGTGACTCTTGAAACCTGCTTGGCTTAGCCTTTAATTGTTGTAACCAATGCATGTATTTCAGTGTCTGTGTCAGAAACAACATCAAACAGATCATACTCATTGTAAAAATTATGACAACTTAAAAGGAAAGTGTCACTTCAAGCCCATGTAAAAACAACAACAAACAGACTCCTTGAAAGATGCAAATGGTGACTTGGATGAAGGAAAAATGCAACTTCAACAGGAATGAGACAGTTAAATGCTTTTTTTTTAATAGAAAATTCAGGTAGAAAAATCTTCCACATGCTGCCGGAGCATGTGGTGCTATTTTAATAGCTTGATTTTGTTAACATTTTCTAAATTATTTTAACAAAACAAAATGCTGCCATCATGCCATACTGTTGGACATATATTGTGGTGGCTTTGGGAATGTCAGGCCATGTACTGGCTATGGTTTAAAGCATTGTAAGTAGCTGAAATCCAAATACCTTACGGTGCAGCCTCTTCATCTTGACAGTCATACTAACATACAAACTCTGTTGAACCCATTAGAATAGATGGATGCATTTTTGCTGGAGTACCACCTTCTGCCATTTAAATTTCAATATTGTTCCTAAAATATTTCTTTATATGAATGGTACATTTATAAAAGATGCATAAAATTAGCTTTTTTCTATGTGAATTAATATACCTTGATTATCTTCCTTTCTTAAACCTCATGAACTTTCCCTTAGACAAGGGACTGGATTTGGGTCAATTTACTGAAAAGGAGTGTTTTTTGATGCTTATAAACCTTTATGTAGATATGCTTAATTTTTAAGCAGTTAGGCACTGAGAGTAGCAGAAATCCTGCAAAGCTTTATAGATCATTCGAAGCGCAGTCCACTTCAAAGTTCTCTTTGCACAAACCCCATTGGAATGAGCAGTATACATGTTTTTCTTCAGTTTCCTGTCATTTCAGTGGTGCTTTTGCAGGAGAATCTACAGCTGGATGGTGCCCTGTGGCTTTCCCCCCCTCGGAATAATGTTTTGATTTCAATAGAGAGATTTGCTGTAGCGCTGAATTTGTTAGAATGGGTGTCCCTAATTTCAGGTAGAAAGAAAATTTGTTAGCACAGAAAAATTCAAACCAACAATGTACTGTTTAATTGTTTATTTTATTTTTTTAAATTTACATTGTTTTGTGTTTTTTGTTTTTTAAAAAAAGAATTGTGGCATGTATTTTCGTATACCAGCAATGTCACCCATCAACTTATGTCCATGAATTCATTTAGAGACAGCAATGTTGCACCTTAATTATTTCAAATGAACCAAAATATTATGTTCTCTGCTTTCATGTTTATTCTGATTCTATTGTATTATAGTTTATCAAGCCCATTCTAACTTAGCAAAAGCTATCAGTATTTATGCATTTAACCATATTCTCTAGATTTGAACCTGTGTATGTCTTTCTTTTTTACAAGAAAAAATTTAAATAAGATAAAACAAATTATTCTTACCCTCCTCTATGGTTTCTTAATGGAAGTGAGGATATATTTCTCAATGTGTAAATTTAGCACTATCCCATTTTCTTTGTTTTTGTTTATTTATTTAGTGACCTTTGATATTTCATGTAGTTTTGAGGTATATACATAGAAGCTGATACTGCAAGCATAGAATCAGCTGGGAGAAGGATACTGTAATGTCATTTTCATGTAATTGTGTTAGTACTGTATTACAGGGGGGGAGGGGGGAGTTCTGCAAAGTATTTAACATGTACATTTGATTTTGATTCTCCCATTAGGTTGTATTCCAGATACAAGACCAAATTTGATGTAAAATCTTGTGGAGCTTATATCATGCTGTTGTACTTATGACAGTATTTTTCCCTGGATTGTACTGTGATTCCACAAATAGGATATATTTATTTAAGAAGATATAGTATGCTTTTTTACTAATACAATATCCCAAAGCTATGAGCAAAGGAGTTCTTTCTTTGTCTCGCTGTCCAGATTACAGTTCAGTCAATGATTTTCAGAACCGATTTACAAAGTGTTGTGGATGTGGTGAAGGCAGCAGAGATATACTGGCCTCTGTGACTTTTGCTACTTTTTTCTAAACAGCTTACGTAGCATAAATGTAGCTGCTAGTCACTTGATAGCTGCTCGCTCCATATATTCACCTGCAAACCAGTACAAGTTGTATATTGCGCTTCAGCGAGGGGAACATACACAGGGTGGAAAATGCCTATCAGTTTTTTTAAATGGTGCATCCCAAAGGGTCCATTCAATCTTTTAAAAAGAGAAACGTCGTTGTCTCTGCTCAGAGGCACACAAGAGGAATAGGTCTGAGAGTCGTCCCTGGCACGCAACATGTGCTTGGAAAAAGGATAGGCTCCATGAATGCAACGAAATGTCATCTACATCCTGCTGTCTTTGCAGGTTTCTGGTTAAGGGCTGGAACTGCACATGGACTGTTGGGACTGGGGGAAATCTACATGCTTGCAGAGCACAGGTGTTCCTTGTGCAGAGCCCGTTTTGCAGATTTTGGGGGTCCCTATGTAGTGAGATTATAACACAACATTGTTGCCTGGGGTGATAAGGAATTGCTGTGTGTTTTCTACTGACTGAATTTGAAACGGGCTGTAAAAATTTAGTTTTCTGATCCAATAGTGGCATCACTGTCCATTGCACACTGAACCCTTTCAGACAACTGAGTAGCACTGTATTCTCAGTGAATGATTATCTGTGGGGGTTGAGAAGGGGGAGGGGGCTGGTTGAAGCTACCCTTAGTGTGAAGCATTAGAATAGAACAATTTTTCAAATGTGCTCCGTGCTTAGGAACTGCAAGAAAAGTGTTGTTTTTTTTGTGCTGAAGGGAATAGCCTTGGAATTGGGTTAATCAAAGAGAGAAAAAGGGGGCATTATTGCCACATGAGGGAGTTATATATTTTCTTAATCTCTGAAGGAAAAATGTGGTAAAGACTATAATGATTGTCAGGTTTGCCTTGTACTATTGTGTATTTATGCCTCTCAGCTGCACTCTGTTCTACAACTAATTCTAATAATGCTACCTCTATTAAAGGCTACTGCAGTTGACTTCCATTTGTTTTCAAGATTCCTCATGCAGTCTTTTCAAGTTGGTGGGTATCTGTTTTGGATCACGCTGTTTTATTTTCTAAGAGCAGTTTGGTAGAGGGAACAACATACATCTCAAATTGCTCTCCGTACTCGTACTATTCATAAACAGAGCTACTTGATGAGTGTAGCTTTTGTGTAATTTTTTTCTCTGTAAATTGATAGTTTTTTTTTAAAAAAAACAAACAGCTTCAAATACATCACGCACAAGTACTTTCTTTTCAATGAGAAGATAAGTGCTCTGTATGCAAAAGTATTGGATGCTGCACTGAGCGCTTGTCTTTCATTGAATGTAATGGGACGGCCTCTTTGCTTGTAGAATTCCTCAGGCACAAGTGGGCAATCTTCTGTGACATTCTTGACTGTCCACAGTGTGAGATTATTATCATGGGAAATGATCATTAATTGTTCCCTTTACTGATACGAGCTATATAAAGATTACGAAAATGATCAACACTATACATGCTCATTTTGTTTCTTTGGGTGGGGTGCTAAATTGTAGAGTGGTTAAATAATCTGTCATACTTTCCTTCCTTTCTTTCTCTTTGCCTGGCTTAAATACAAAACCAGCACCAGCAAATATCAAAACATAAAGACATTTCAGTGAGAAGGCATCTGCAAACTAAGGCAATAAGAGAGGTCCGTGCTTCTTGGTTGTGGCTAAACCTCAGTAAGATTACAGTTTGTTATTCTGAAATGTGCTCCTAACATTATTGATTGTTGAGCTCCCACAATGTCTCTGATTTTATTTTTATTTTTTTACAAAACACTTGGCTCCTGGGCGTTGCAAGCAATAGTTTGCATAGTGATGCTTTGATCCAGAAAGGCAAGTGATGTGGTAATCAGATGCATTGAACTGTGCCCTTCTGAATACAGATTAATAAGAGCTTCAGTTCACACTGGATTGTAAAACATGGGCTGATAGTCTTTAACCCTGTTGTTCCAAATAATTGTTTTCTGATGAGTAACTTGTCAAGCAGTCATCATCCACTTACAGTGGGGGGTGGGGTGGAATAAGTATTACCTTTCTAAGTAAGTTTTTCGGACAACAGTACTGTGTTTTCTTAATAAAGATTTTATTTGCCCTTTTAAAACCACATATATGGAGCAACTTATTTTCCTTTTCATTATTTGTGGATGAGATCCAACATTGCACCAGCGGGTGCAATGGGATTCCCTTTCTTCCCCTCCTCTAGCAGCCTCCATCTGCTCCAGAGGGTTACTCAACCCTGTATAGTATATTACCCTGTTTGCGAAAGCAGAAGTCCATTGTGCAGATGGAATGCCCCATTGTATATCTCCCATTATTTAATTATATATTTTTATAATTTATATCCTATTTTTTCTCCATGGAGCCAGACCATCTTATCATGATTGGGCTTCTCAAATATAGGGCACAGCAACCTGGAACTGGGCTTGCACAAGCCCCTCTCCTCCCTTTCAAATGGGCACAATTGTTTTCTTGCACAACACGTCACTGAGGCTTGTGCAGGGGAAGTATATCTGTGGATTGTGTGCTAAAAGTCTAATAATATCCTTAGAGAGGCTCTGTGGCCTTTGCTTATTAGATTTATCAGTCAAGCCATATTTGCCATTGCTGAATGTTTCTTTTTGGTTGCCCTAGTCTACTAGCAGATAATTCCACTAGATTCTAACCCAGAACTTGGTTTTATTTTTTGTGAAGTTTCAATGTAAAATATGCATTGTAAAACTCATTCCCTCCAGTGGTACAATAGAGTTACTGCATTCTTAGCTTTTGTGTAGTGCACTTAGTAACTTAGTAAAGCTTTATACCTAGGTGGATCTGCAGATATATTATAAGTACACATGTTAAGTCATGTGTATTCCATGCTAAAGAACATTGTGATACTGAATATGGAGCAATTATTTAATAAAATAAATGATTTCTTTTATAAAAAATAATAATTCAGATATGTTCACATTTATGTTCACATTTTCAGCTCTCTAGTGTATATTGAGAAGTTCTTCCATTTCACAACAGAATGGCTATAAATACCGTAATTGATGGAAGCATATTTTCTATTGTTAGCTGATGTTGGGCCACAAAATGGGTACCTAGCATATCAAGGACCAATTGAAATCATTTGAATTTTCATGTTCAGGTGACTCCAATGGGATTTAGGGACACCTAGATTTTTTGGGATTGTACCCTCTGGCTGTAAATCTATGGTACACAGTATATAGCTGTTAATGCTTTTTATAATCTTGGATATGTAACATCACTGGCGTAGGCTCTGACTCAGAGAGAATGTGCCATGATTCCCTTTACGTATACATGCAGAGAGAGAGTGTCATGAGAGTCATTTCTTAGTGTGTGTGTGTGTGTGTGTGTGTGTGTGCTCTAACCATATCATCTGGGCCCATGGAGTGAGTTTATCCCACCGGATCAATAGTCAACTAGAAATGAGAATAGGAAACATTCATGCAATTGGCTCTACCCATGTGTTTCCAGAATCCACACACAGTCTGCAGTCTCATAGACAAATGTCTTCCAATACAGCTCAGCATGTTTGTGAAGGACACTGGAGTCTAAGCTGATATCAATAGAGCAGGGGCAAAACTAGGCTTTATTTCACCCAGGACAAAGACTCAGTTTGGCATCCCCCCTGCACATTTGTGTACACACACACACACACACACACAGAGAGAGAGAGAGAGAGAGAGGAGAGAGAGAGAGAGAAGCTGGGAGCCTCAGTGGCTCCCCTCTGGAGGCTTCACATGGGGCAGAAAACATGGCTAGCACCCCTGTAGCTACGGCACTGCAATAGAGTAAAACAATCACAACTAAATTTAGCTGGAAAGAGGCCTTGGTGTTTAATATGTGACAGACTTAGAGACTGATTCCCTGTCAAAACAATACTCTGTTTTTTTTAAAAAATGCATGTTCTGTTTGCAAACATGGTATTTCAAATTAAGTGTTGTGTTACAAAAATGCTAAGCTTAACAAGGAATTGGTGAAACCAGTGGCTACTTCACACAAATCCTTTGGAACCTTAATCAGTACAAGGTTTAGTTCCTTCTACTACATGCTTATATTATTGAGAGGAAATTAATTCCAATGTAAATAGGATTCTAACATTGAAAAGGTAGGCCCCCCCCCCTTTTTGTAACGTTCTCAAAAATCCTGTTTTCTTCTTGAATATATACTTTGTGTACAATAATAGGTACTGAAGCCAAGGAGACCATAGGGTCATTTCTCTACCATGCTATTAAGCATCTCCTCCATAGAGAACCCCTTCCTTGCCATCCAGTTGGAATGTAGCATATGGGGAGCAGGGACACAAATTACCGTATTGGGAGAACCCTGCCTGTATTGGGTTTGCATCACCATAGCAGAATAAAGGGAATGTTCTAGACCAGGGATTTAACCACAGCGCTCAGGAAGCCAGCTATATCAGTGACACCCTATACACTTCATATTTGCTAGTAACCTCATAATCAGGTTGCAGCTGAAAAGCATATGAGCACTCAGAAAGTGCTGCTGTTGCTCCTTTCACTGTAGTCACTTGATAGGTTGTCAAAGCCTTACTTATCTTTAGAATTGGACTACAAAAAATGATTCTGGCTTCTCCACTCTTTTTTACAGTGAATTTTAAATAACACTACCATTAAGATTAGCAGGATTAAACATTACATCTTTTTTAATTTATACTTTGCAATAGAGAAACACGATAACCAGTATGTCTCAACTAACATACTAGAAAGCTGGAAAATTCAATTGGCTTCAAATACTGATTTTTTTCCCCATGCAAAGAATATACCATCAATGATGACATTCAGTTGGCTGTAAAGAGAGCAAAAATGTGTCTGAGCACTCTGTTCAGTATTCTGATTTATGCCCGACGACTTAGCATAAGGTTTACCAAAAGCTTTTCCATCACATTGTATGATATTGTGTCAACAGTGTATTGTTAACCTCACAGTCAGATTCAGCTCTTTCAAAATTGAAGGGCCATCAGCAGCTGTCATTTATTTCCATGTCATTTTGAAGGGGAATGGCTGTACAGGTAGTTCAGAGAGAGAGGGCATACTTTGCATGCCAGTCCCTGGTATTTCTAAGTTGGACTGCAAAAGTGCTCTCTAAAGCCGTGGAAAACTGCCAGTCATTGTTGACCCAGGATGATGAACATGTGGCCCTCCAAATGCTGTTCACATATTTCCTAGCAGTTGGGCATGCTGGATGGAATAGAAAGCTAGTTTATCTCAAGATTGGTGCTCTTAGCTTGGTATTGTAATCAGAAATGGGAAACCTGTGGGCATCTAGTTATGGTTGAACTCAACTCCAATCAGCCATCCAGTATGGCAAATTGCTAGGAACTGTGAGAATTGCAACTGAAAAACACTGTGAACTTCCACCAATGTAAATGGGCCAGGCAGCATCCAGACAGGTGTTTTCCTTCATATGTTCTTTTGCTATTAGGTCCGCTTTAATCTCACTTCCTAGTACAAGCATTTCAGTACCTGAGCTCAACAGAAGTATTGTGCCATCTCTTTTTGTGGCATCAGGTTCTTTTTTTAAAAAATGTGTGTGCACGCTCATGCATGTAAATTTGGATTTTCCCACCCATGTTCACATGAACGCATGAGGATTTAAAATGTGGCGATGGCATAGATACAAGCTCCACTCCCAGTATCTCTGGGTGCATAGGCAAAGGGTTTCTAAGCACACTCAACCAAACACACTTTGAACCCCTGTTCAGGTCTAAATGCATGAAGGTCTGCAGAGAAATTATTGTGTTCCAAGGGATGTTGGGGTGTGGGACTTTCCTGTGCATTCCCCCCTCTCCCAGCAATGTTTTAAACCTTCAGATGTTCAGAAAAAAATGGGTTACAGGCACAAAGACCCACGAAACACAGTTGAATTTATTTGCTAGCACTGTGCTGCACATCTGCTAATTTATTTCCAAGCATCAGCTAGAGCTGGCCACTTCAGAATCTTCTTGTGT